TAAATGGGGATTTGGGAATTCCAGAGGAGTTTATACCATGCTATACCGGTTAAATCTTTATAATTAATATACACAAATATATACACATCTACATTAGTGTGTGTAGACTAACGGTAAAAATATCATTTGGTGTAAACTTCGTTGGGTGTAGCATATAAATAACGAAACTACTTGAAAAAGAGTTTTTCGCGACATCAAGTACTAGAAAATACGATAAGTATATTAAGAAAAGAGCACTAGTTTGACTGTTTGACAAATTTAATATAGGGGAACTTACTACCACCCTGATATAAGATCAAATATTTTTTATGTTTTGGTAATTACAACCACTCTCTTCTCTTCAGCTATAAGTCTTCTTACACGTTCGCCCTTATGGTGTCAAATTTAGTGGATTCTTCTAAATTATATGAATTTTTCTTCAGTTACTCATTTTACCCTATTCGAATTGCATATTTTGAAACAAGATAATCATAGCATATTTTGAAACAAGATAATCATAAGATGTGTCTCTTGAGTTGTGAATATAAGATTGTAGTGCATCAGAAACTGCATTTTTGCACAAAACGAGTACAAACTAGACAACATTCCACGGAATCTAGAAGATTGTGTTGAATTTGACACAGGAAGGATAGACTAGACGTGTAAGAAAATTTATAATTGTAATTATACAAACATGAGATGTTTTTTTCGTAATTTGACCTTACCTCAAGGAGTGACCGTAATTTACCTTTTAATATACATTAGAGAGATTTTTTTTTTCTTGAGAACAATAATAGAAAGATAAAAAGGGCCAATGAGCTTCAACCAATAGAGTACGAGGGTCAACGTGCAACTTTCTTTAATTTGGGGGTAGAACGCAAAATATATCAAAGTTCAGGGGCAAAAATGCCATTTACCCTAATTGTAATTATAAAGTGATAATTACAATTTTCACCTAACGCTTCACAAACATCTTACAAACTTAATTCGCGCGCCGTTAACCTGTTGTTTCCGCCTCCACCCCATCGGCGCCGCTTCTTTTTGGCGACGGGCATACATACAAATTACTGTATCTATTTTCTCTTCAAAGAAATATGGAAGCAAAACCCTCAGTTGCTCCGTCAAGCTTCATCGACCAGCAAGTGGTTTGTACTTTGCGCTCATTCTACTGTTCCTTTTCAGTTCAATCGACTATTCAAATAGAGACGATGAAATTGTATCTATAGGTTGTGATTTCTGTGTGGTTTTTTTTCAATTGGATTATTAGTTTCCAGGGGATTTGGTATTGGACCTCTCCAAAATGACTAATCAAACCATCAAGCTCGGCGGCGGCCTCTGTCAGGTTTCCTTCTTCTTCTAGGGTTTTATTTTATTTCGTTTTAGGCAAAATTGACGTGCAAAATTGGATCTTTTATAATGTTTTTTTTCCAGAAACTATAACTGTAATTGTAATTTTGATACCAACACTTGTCTTTTCCAATTTGCTGAAGAATTCGGGAGTTACGATTTTTTGAAAATCGAATATTGTATTAGTGGATCGATAGTTTGTAGCTAGGGAGATTTTAAATTAAATATACAATTTTTGCAGGATGGTGATGTTATATCTGTTATGAAAGCAGGGAAGCTAAGGTTCTCGAAACCGAACAAGTATTGGGTCGAAAGCTCACATAAACGGGTGAGTCAAATGTTAATTGCTTCGATGAATTTCAACTCGTTCCACATTAATTAACTCTGTCGTATGCTTTCTTCCATAGTTTAAACTACATTATCATCACAGAACACGTGATGGTAATATAATAAGTAAGTGAAGTTACTAAAGCTATTTTACACCATTTTGTAGAATCTTCCTGCTATTGATAGACCTTCGAGCATATATTCTGACCATTTTTCGACATTTCTCACTGTTTAAATGTGATTGTGTGTTCACTGCCGAAGATGTTTTTAAGATTGATGCAGTAAAGAAAAGCTTAATACATGCTAATAATGTACTCGTTTGCTTTGGTTGATTTGTCCGTATGGTTTCTTACAAAAACAGAAACGAGAGTCATTAGAGTTCATTAAAAATCTCACACAATTTATTTTCTAGATGATCATGAAACTCAAATGAAATCAAGTTTAGCTACATGATCCTGCTAATTGCTCACAAGCGTCAATAAACAATCTATAGGAAAAAGTGAAATTGGATTGTAAATAAAACACGAGTTTTTCATAGTATTTTGTTTATAACTGACAGATAATTTTTGATATCCTAATCCTCAAAACCTGCATAGTCACAATGTAGAAAAAATCCTAAACGATCCATGGGGTCTCTTCATATTTGAATAAAGTGCCATTCTTGGAGATTTTTCTGCAACGTGGCTGTTAAACAAACAATTGTTACATCATGTGCAACCGACATTTTCAAAATTTGGTTTTTATTGTGAAATTTCATTCTTACTTGCATTTTTCCTTGCTGCTTAGGCATATATGTCAGTTCTTGAATTTTCAATGAAATTGACTTCTTGGCTTTATTTATGGTTAATTGGTAACTTTTGGCTTGTGATATTCATACAAGTTGTGTTTTACTTTTTGACAGTACGTACCTAGTGTTGGGGACAATGTACTTGGAATAGTGGTTGAAGCAAGAGCAGACGTAAGTACTTTAGGTTCCGTGTTGTTCTTTATGAAGATAATTTGTTCTCTATTTTATGTTTCCTTCTATGATTCTTCTACCATCGGGAGAAATGGTGTGATCTGCGCCTTCATATCTTCTGATTTTGTATTTGATACATTGCCAAAACATGTTATTTCACACTTGTTTGTTGATTTGTTATACGTGCAACAGAATTTTTTTGTGGATATAAAAGGTCCTGCATTGGCATTTCTGCCGGTTCTTGCTTTCGAAGGTGGAACCAGGAGAAACATTCCTAAGTTTGAGGTATTAATATTTATTGTCTCGTATGAATACTATTAGTGGTGTTTCCGGTTTCCCGAGTGTGGCACAAATATGTTGCATAAAATAAATGATAAATCAACAATTCATTTCCCATCACGATTTCTTGTTGGAAAAAACTCGTCCGTTGAGCATGTGCTATCCTTTTTCTGCAAGCGAAAAACTTTGAATTATGTTATTCTGATATAGCTATTATTTTTCTCTTATCTATAATTGTCTGAAAGTTTTCTATCATCTTCAGACAGGAACTTTGCTGTATGTCCGTGTTGTCAAGGCGAACACTGGCATGAACCCTGAATTATCATGCACAGATGGTTGGTCTATTACAAAATTGGAAGCTCTTTTGTAATATATATATAATTCTATTTCTTCTCTAATTTTTTTTTCCAATGAAATTTCTTCTGCTCCATAGCCATGGGGAAAGCAGCAGAGTATGGCCCGCTTAAAGATGGGTTCATGTTTGAATCATCGACTGGATTATCACGAACGTAAGATATTATTCCCCAATCAAGAGAATATTGTACTCAAAAGTTTTTCTTGAATTACTCAAAAATTCTCCAACTTGCATTTTTAGGTTGCTAAGCTCTCCAACATGTCCAGTTCTTGAAACTCTGGGGAAAAAAATTGCGTTTGAGATTGCAGTTGGTTTGAACGGCCGGGTTTGGGTATGATTCCATTTATTTATTTTTTATTTTTATTTTAATGATTATCTTCTATGAAGTTTATTAGTATTTGAGGCGTTATTTGTCTAATTTTGATGAATTTGGAAATTGTTTAGGTGAATGCTACGTCTCCTTCGATCATTGTTCTTGTTGCAAATACAATCATGCAAACAGAGTCGTTGAGTCCAGCTCAGCAAAAAATCAGGGTTGAAAACCTGCTGCAGAAATTGCAATAAACGGACACAACTTTGTGCGACGATTTTTGTAGTATGAGGAACAATGTTGGCAGCAAATTCTAACTCCTAATGCAGGCTAGTAAGATTGCTTCTCCGTCTAATTCTTGCCGATATTGCGAACCAAAACGAAAAGTTTGCAGAGCATCATTTTGTGGCTTATGAAGAACATCCGAAGTAGATTTTTTTTCAAATTAAAATTTCAATGTTTAATGTTGATATTGTCGGAGATAGATAATACTAGTTCCGTAAACTTGAAGATGATCGATTTTATTGTTTATTATTTTAGGTGATATTAAATTTTATTTCCTTTATGCGGAAATTAGATTTTCCTTGAGAATGAAACTTGTTGGCTAATACTTTTCTTACTTAGTGTGCATCTACCTGAAACAGCACTTAGAAAAAACCGGAGGGAGTGTACAATAAAAGAGCCCACAAGAGTAGTTTAGTTGGTTGAGTAAGGAGAACACAATCGTGTTTCAATAATTCTTGCACGACTTTACATCTCTTGTGTAATTTACGAACGAAAATGTGAGGCCTAAACAAGAGAAATACAATTTTATCCTTAAATTTATATTTTATCAAGTATGATGTTTTATGGACAAATTCAATGTATAATACGAGAATTTAACTAAATTTAATACAAGAACTAATCTAAGGAAGCAAATATATTACTAACTAAATAATTAATTAATCAATAGAAAATTAAATTCAATCTCATATAATACAAACCAATCTATAGGTAACTGAACGAGCCTAGTGCATACTAGGGGTGTAAATGAGCCGAGCCAGCTCGTGAGCTCGGTGAGCCGGCTCGACAAAAGCTCAAACTCAAACTCGAATTTTTGGAGTTCAAGCTCGCGAGCTTGAGCTTTCTGACGAGTCGAGTCCGAGCTCATTTTTAGTTGTTCGTGAGCTCGCGAGTTTTTTTTTTTATTTTTTAAATATATTTAATATAAAATAATTACTAATTCATATAAATGATTACAAAAATAAATTAAAGGTTATTTTTATTTTAATTTTTTTAGTATAATAAATAATTATAAATTTTTAATAATATTTAAAAATAAAATTACCACCGGCTCGCGCGAGCTCGAGCTCAAAGAAAGAATACTCGAAGAGCTCGAGCTCGTCAAAACGGATTCGAGTTTGAGCTCGAGTTTGTCAAAACAGCCAAAATCGGCTCGTTTACACCCGTAGAACTGCATATATTGTACTATTAAAAAAGAAAAAGAAAAAAGGATAATACATTTTGAGATGCTTTGGGATGAGCAAAAATAAAAAATAACCAGAGAAGCAAAATCCAAAATCAGCGGCACCTCTTCACTCACTCCTTCATCTCTCATACATAATCTCCTTTCTCTCTCATTGTTTCATAAGAATCACTGTTCCCAATATCCAATCGTCGATGAATTCCCCTTTCTCCTTCAATCCATCTCATCCTTTCTGAAAATAAGAAAAACTGCTTCTGTTTTGGTCTTCGATTTCTTCCCATGGCGACTCCGTCTGATGCTCCGCCAAGTTCGGCTGACGAAAACCCCCAAAATTCAGGTTTTTGTTTTGTTGATTCCTTTTTCTCTTTCTACCTTAATTTCTTTGATTTTTACTCGTGTGTTTTGATTACTATTATGGAAGCATCTTTGTAAAATTGAATGATCGAACTTCTGATAATCTGATTCATAGTTGAATTTTCCAATTCGTGGTATGAATTCAATTTCAGCTCCAATTGACTAGTTTCTTAGCGTGTTCTGCTGTACGCGGTACATGTGTGTGTGTGTGTGTGTGTGCGCGCGCGCGCGTGTGCAGTTATAATAGATTAACATAAGCTGAGCCACAATTTTGGATTCATTTGTAATTTTATAACCGGAAAGCCTTCCGATTTCTGATGTTTGCTATGTTGAACTGCAGTTCTCACTCAGCCGACCAATGATAATTTTCAAGACACTGTGAAGGAAAGTTCTCCCACTTCAGTATTTGTGAACTCGGAACCCATTCGAGAAGATCAAGTACAAAACGCAATAAAGTTTCTCTCGCATCCAAAAGTTAGGGGATCACCCGTAGTTTACAGAAGGTCGTTTCTCGAGAGGAAGGGTCTCACAAAAGAGGAGATCGATGAAGCCTTTCGACGTGTTCCTGTAAGTCGAATAATTTTCTTGATTATATCATCAGCATGTGAATTTTTTTAAAAAGTATCGAATCCTAACAGTTAATATATTATTATGCAGGATCCAACCCCACCTGTTACAACGACGCCATCGGTTGTTACTAATCAAGGTAATCTCGTAATTTGACATGTTTTTTGTTTTTGGGTTATTAAGCGTGCTTAAAGTACTGACGTTGATCTTCTCTTCTCGAACAATATATATATGAAGATGGGCAGATTAAATCTTCTGGAAATGTTCAACAGCAACCTCCAGCACAAGCGTTACAGCAGATTACGCCCGTTGGAAATGTGAATAGTAATTCGAAAATGGGGAGACTAGCTCGATTCCAGTGGTACCATGGTATTCTTGCTGTAGGCTTTCTCGCCGTATCAGGGGCCGGAACAGCAATACTTTTCAAGGTAAATGTTAAATATTGTATTTACTCGCTGTAAATTTTCGAACAATGAAATGTAGTTCTGTTTTAATTTGTGGTTATGTATGTATTTACTTGCATCCGTCGGTTTGATATTTCCTAATTTGACATCAGATTTTCGTTGGCGTGTTTTTTTGTCTTTTCAGAAAGCAATTGTTCCTAGGTTCAAGTCTTGGATTCGTAAAATTGTATTGGAAGAAGACGAAGAGGGCGTGATGAAGAAAAACGATGCGAAACCAAGCATAGCGGAAGAAGCTGCCGCCGCTGCAAAATCTGCCGCCGCTGCAGCGGCTGATGTAGCTCGAGCAAGCCAGGAGATGTTGATTACGAAAAGTGAAGGTACATCTTTAATGAGTTCTGGTCAATATATGTATATATATATATATATATATATATATATATATATATATATATATATATATATATATATATATATATATATATATATATATATATATAATTGTTTCTGTTGTTTTTTTCAGAGAAGAGATGTTTTGAAGAGCTTATCAAAATGTTGAATGTCCAAGTACACGAGATGAAATCGATGAGTAACGCAATACAGAAGTTGGAAGTTGGTAAGAATTTGCTCCGTGTTAATCCATCTGAATGCTGAATTTTCTTTTTTTTTTTGCCCGTTTGTTTGGTGCTTCCGTATATCTGCAAAATGTGAGGAGTTCGTTTTTTTGCTGTGAATATCAGGACAAAGTATAAATGGTAGAATTGCTGTGGAGGAACAATACCAAAGGGTCTCAGGAACCAGTTCAAGGGTAAGAAAGCTATTACTATATAGGGTAAATTACAACCACCCCTCGAGGTATGGTTAAATTACGAAAAAACCCCTCTTGTTTGGATAATTACAACTACCCCTCAATTATGAATCTTCTTACACATCCACCCTTATGATGTCAAATTCAACATAATCTTCTAGATTTCGTGGAATGTTCTCTAGTTTGTACTCGTTTTGTGCAAAAATGCAGTTTCTCAATCTGATATTTACAAGCCAAAACACACATTTTATGATCATCTTGCTTCAAAATGTGGAGTTCGAATGGGATAAAACGGGTACAAAATTGAGAATGTTCCATATAATCTAAAAAGTTCCACTAAATTTAACACCGCAAGGGTGGACGTGTAAGAAGATTTATAGTTGAGGGGGTGGTTGTAATTACCCAAACTGGAGGGAGTTTCGTAATTTGGCCATACCTCAGGGGTGGTTGTAATTTACCCTACTATATTTTCAATTAGTTTTTATTTATTTAATGCTGATTCTCTTACATGCATGTCGTCTTGGTTTTCAGCAACCTTATGCCAATGGCAGGGCAGATACTGATTCTCGTTCAGGTTTATTTATTTATTGATGTTATATTTCTTTTAAATTTCTCGTTGCTCTTTTAAATGTTATTTATTTGTCGGAGGTGTTCTTTGCAGTGAGATCTTTGTCACCGCCTGCGCCAGTGGAACCTTCTGCTGCTCCTCATCCTAAGTCGTATATGGATGTAAATATATATCTTTTTTCACTCTTACATATGTGCTCGGATTTCTATAATTGGAATAACTCTTTATTATTAATTTTAGAAGTCTATTTTCGTTTCTATTCTCTTTACTAATATGCACAGCTCTTTTGCAGATAATGGCTATGATACAAAGAGGGGAAAAACCCTCCAATATAAGGGTCAGTCCACTTTCACTAATCACGTTTTTGTCGAATTCACACACACACACACACACACATATATATATATATATATATATATATATATATATATATATATATATATATATATATATATAAAACGTGCTTTTGTTAATCGTTTCAGGAGATCAATGATGCACCACCGAACCCCAGTCAGCCATTATCAAATCCACGTTTAGCACCAAGGCTTAAGGTTTGCCTTCGAAACTCTTACCTATTTCAAATATTTAATAATTCCTATTGAAGATACGAAAATCACCATCACAAGCAATATAGCTCTAATTGCCCAAAAAACAAGATGTACTGATTCTAAAAGTCTCGTTTACTAATATGAAAACTTGTATTTATTATTGTTATAAATAGGGGTGGAAATTGGAATGGAATTCCAGATTTCCGCCGAGTTTTTTCAATTTTGGAACATTTTCATTCTGAATTCCGAAAACCCGATTCCATTTTTTCCCCTTTTTAAAAAAAACTGGAATTGAAATATACATGAGATTCCAATTTCCAATCCAATTTCAATTTCTGGAAATAATTCCACAAATTCGGATTTCTTTTTTCCTCCAAAATTACACTTGTAAGATCAGTATTATTATGCATTTTATATTTTAGGTAACTAAAAAATTTGGAATTTTCCGACTACCGCCGATTCCAATTCCGATTTTTTTCCAATTTTTTTTGGAACGGACTCGGAACTTCACTTCCAAAAAAAATCAGAATTCTTCCGGAAATACTTATTCCGATCCGATCAGTCTGAATTCCGCCCTCTAAACTTGTTCGCATTAAACTATTTGTATTGGCTTTAGTATTTACACACAATAGACGATTATCAACACAAACTTCTTGTTTACATTCAGCCATGGGAATCTCAGAATAGCGCCCCCAACAATTATCCAGCTCAAGATAGCATCAACGCCTCAAATTACGATTTCCAAGATAACCAGATGAACGGAGACAATGCAGCAGCATCTTCTTGGTGGCAACAAAAGAACGCAAGAATCACAGAAATCGAAACTCCCAATACGACAATGGTTAACGAACGTGGGCCCCCCGCCATTCAGAGGTCATCATCGTGGGTGCCACCTCAGCCGCCACCTGTCGTGATGCCTGAAGCAGCTGCCGCCATACGGCAACCCAAAAAATCTCCGTATCAAATGGAGCAGTTGACCGACGACCAACTACTTGCTCGTTCTTCTGCAGATGCAAACGACGAGTTGCAGAGAATTACGAAAATATCCGAATCTGGAGGTACTGTACTGGATAGTACTAATGGTGGAATTTATTCCAGCGAGATATCGAATGAAGAGAATGGCTCGTATTTCGAGACTTGATTAATTCGAGGTACCGTATAGCCGATAGGGAGTTGATCGTAATCGGAGAATAGAGCATATCGATCTTATTCCACAATCATTTAGTTCCGAGTTTTAAATTAAAAAATAAATAAATATATTGTGGTACATAAACCATTAATTATATAAGGTCCACTGTTTGTGTTGAGCACAATTTGTTATCTGCTGAACAGGTAATCAATCTGTTATCCATGAACCATTTTTTTCGGCCTTCGAATTTTGGTCGTCTTTAGGTGTTATTTTTCGAGTAGAGAAACGAGTAGTGCTTCTTAATCTAATTGCAACATCTGATCTGCTCTTTTTGCTTTATTTTCAAACTTAATTCGTTATCGTCGAATCCCCAACTCTTTTAACTGATCGATCTCGATTAAGTGTTTGTTATGATTTTATTTCCGTATTGATTGGAATCGGCGGAAATTGGAAAATTTCAGTATCAATCAATCAATCAACAAATGTATCTATATTCCTCAATTTTTTTATACCTAAACTACCCTCATATTTTCTCTTTTGAAAACAACCCCTCCTTTGCTGGAAGAAACTGATCACCCTCTCTTCCACCAACAGCCACCAAAATGATACTGAATAAGAAAAAATTTCAAAAGTGACAGTTAATTTAAATAAATTGAGAGATCCAGGAGTAACAATATCTTGATTTTCTGAATTTTATACTCGTATTAAAAAAATTGAAATTCAAAATAATTATTTGAATTCCAATTTATTTCTCAAAAAAAAAAAAAAAGAATATTTATGAAGACAATTTATTTTAAGGCAAGTGGTGAAAGATTTTTAGAGTACCATCTAAATATGTTTCATGAGTTCCTAATCTAAAATGAATGGTCTGCATTCTTGAAGTGGGCCTTAATTCAATTGGTTTATTGCACCAATAATTAAAAGATAGAACATACTAGATCATTCAAATATAAGTCTTATATAATTGTTTTATATATATATATATATATATATATATATATATATATATATATATATATAAGTCTTATATAATTGTTTTATATATATATATATATATATATATATATATATATATATATATATATATATATATATATATATATATACACGCACACACGTGTATTATGTTTGTGTATAAATATAGGCTTACTTACATATACAACCCTACATTGTGTTACTAATAGTTATAAACTTATAATACTAAAAAAATATTGTTATTACATGACTTACCTAATATAATCCTACATGATTTGGATGCTACAACATAAAATATTTTACTCAAAAAAATTAGAAAAATCGATACACAAAGTTCGATTTCGTAGAACCTACATCTGGTGAAATACACCATGCAGTTCTACACCACTGATCTGCACATAATCACACACACACCCATGTGTATATGTGCTTATTCGGTAGTTATTTATGTAGTTCTACAGTTTTAAAATCACATGGTGTATTTTCACTAGGTGTAGGATCTCGTAAACCCACAAAGTCGATTGATTCTTGGCCATTCAGAATTCCAATTTAATTTAATGATATTTTTGATTCATATGTGTATATATTAGAGGTCCATGATTTTTAATTTCTTGTTCTAGAATTCTCATATGTAGATAATTTATTTAGTTGAAATTAATATTATTTTTTATGGTAAGTATTTTTTGCTAAAAAAAACATATAGAGGAAATTAAAGATTATATTTGAATGAGGGTTGTGTAAGTTGGTGTCATTTTCAACTAATACGCCCCAAGTGAGAGAAGACACGTACTCTCTCTCTCTCTCTCTCTCTCTCTCTCTCTCTCTCTCTCTCTCTCTCTCTCTCTCTCTCTCTCTCTCTCTCTCTCCCCATGTATATATATATTGTGTTTCTTGAAATAAGCATGAAAGACAATAAGAAGAAAAAGCCTTTTGTTAATACCTCATTGAGTTGTGTAAAATGGCTCTAAAAATGCTCTCTCCAACTGAAATAAAGCCTCTTTCTTTCTTGGATTCCTCTAAATCCAATTACAACCTTAATCTTCTCAGCTTCCCAGGTATATTTTAGTCTATTTATTTATTATTATTTACATTCTATAATTTGTATATTATTATTATTGTTATTGTTGTTGTTGTTGTTGTCGTCGTCGTTGTTTCTTGAGGATTGTGATGCAATAAGTTTGTTGTATGAGACGTGAAAAATTCCAATTTGGAATGAGTTATTTCATTTTCAATTTTTGAAATTTCGATTGCCGATTCTCTTGATATTTTTTGACGAAATTGAAATTTATTTTCACTTTCGAATTTTTTTTCTGAAACTTTTTATTCTGATACGTCTGATTTCCACCCCTAATGGGATCGACGTCTTTGATTTTTATTTTTACGCTTTCTAGATAACTATTCACATATTTTCGAATTGAACCTAAATCTGCTTATTTTCTTCATTTCAATACCCGTTGCTAGACAAATATAGGTGTAAAAATCGAAACTATCATAATTATCATTTTCGAAAGAAAAAAAATCCAGTTTCTTTCGAAATTGAAATTAATTCCAACACTACTAAAAAGAAATCGGAAAATAAGAAATTTGAATGAAACAAAATTGTTCCAAAACAGTTTTTTTATTTGGATCGGGATCGTCAAAATTCACAAATTCCATTTTCGGTCACCAAAATACAAACTACAGAATAAAATTGATATCATAAGTGCAATTTTCAGGAAAAAGAAAAAACTTCGGAAATATTTACTAAAATTAAAATTGGATCGCAAATTAGAATCTTATATATTCTCCCAAAAGAAATGGTGGGAACTTTTAGAATTCGAAATTAATAAAATATTATTCATAAGAAGTTTGATGGCCCATGGGTCCAATCTGCTGGCCCGGCCCGTAGTATAAACTTACTTAAGATGCCGAGTTATTAAATATTCATTTATTTAAATAATTAAATGTGTTAATATTATTATATCCAGGTGTATTTTCTTTGAAGAGGAAGGAAAATGGAAGCACTCCGGCGAAGCAAGTCCGTTGCTCGGCGGCGGCGCCACCTCCGGCTTGGCCCGGTCGAGCCGTGGCTGAGCCCGACCGAAAAAAATGGGATAGTCCAAAGCCTATTTCAATTATCGGATCGACTGGCTCCATTGGTACTCAGGTGAAACAATATTTATTTGAGTTCTGAATCTGAATTTCTGCCCTAAATAAAAACAAAAAACCCTAAGAACTGAATTAATTTGGGTATTATTAGCATTTTGATTAGGTTTTGTTGTGATTGGCAGACATTGGGCATAGTTGCTGAAAATCCGGATAAGTTCAATGTTATCGCACTTGCAGCTGGTTCTAACGTTACTCTTCTTGCTGATCAGGTGATTAATTGATCTTTTTTTTTTTGTTTTTTTGTTTTTTTTTTTTAATTCTAAAAATAACTCAATCAAGTTTCAGATTATTATTTTTTGTTGTTGAGGAATTTCTTTTGTTCTATATTAGTTGTAACTTCACAATTCTAGTCATGCAGTAATAGGTGTGTAAATCGGACCGATCGGATCGGAATTAGCCGTTTCGGAAAAATCCCAATTTTTTTTGGAAGTGAAAAACTAGTTCCAATTCCCTTAAAAAAAAAGGAAAGAAAACGGAAATCGGAATTTCGGAAATTAGAACCAAAAATCTTGTTCCATAATCAGAAAATTTCGGATCGGAATCGGCGGAATTCGGAATTTTCCAATTTTTGCTCACCTTAAATATAACATACATAATAATATTGGTATTTTAATTGTAATATTCAGAGAAAAAATCGGAATTTTTAGAATTATTTTCAGAACTTTAATCAGAATCTCATATATATATATATTCCAATTCCGATCCAAATAATTTCGGAAAAATCGGAAGTAGGAATTTTGGAATTCGGATTGAAAAATATTGTTCCAATAATCGGAAAATTTCGGTTCGGAATCGGTGGAAATCAGAATTTTCGTTCCAATTTCCACCCCTATGCAGTAATTATCCTGTTTTTTTTCTTTCCCAATTCTGCTTCTATAATTCCTAAATTCTCACCTACCAAGGGGTGTAATTAACAGAGAGAGAGAACTGATCGTAAACGATATTTCAGTCATATTATATACAAATTTTTTTCCTAGTATTCTTGATAATTGTGCTGAAGACACCTTAAACTAGAGCTAATTTGAATTAAACTATGGTGGTAAAAAAATATATTCGATCTTAGTAGTGATTAATGCAGGTGAAGAGATTTAAACCTAAATTAGTTTCTATTAGAAACGAGTCGTTAGTCGATGAACTGAGAGAGGCTTTAGCTGGTATTGAAGAAATGCCCGAAATAATTACTGGAGATCAGGGAACAATCGAAGTTGCTCGTCATCCAGATTCCGTTACTACTGTCACTGGCATTGTTGGTTGTGCCGGTTTAAAGGTAAAATAAATTCAATTATTTTTGTCGTAGAAAATAAAATAGAATAAATTAATTCCGATAGAAAAATGATCGTTTTTTTTCGATAAAATAGCCTACAGTGGCTGCCATAGAAGCTGGGAAAGACATTGCGTTGGCCAATAAAGAGACACTAATTGCTGGAGGGCCTTTCGTCCTCCCTCTTGCCAAAAAGCATAATGTCAAGATTCTTCCGGCAGATTCCGAACACTCTGCTATATTTCAAGTATGTTTATATACGTCTTAATTTATCCGAATCGCATAACAAATAATTCGTCATTTATAAAAACAATAAAAAAAATTATAATATATTTCAGTGTATACAAGGCTTGCCTGAAGGTGCTCTGAGGCGCATCATTTTGACCGCATCTGGAGGTACTTTCAGGTGCGGCCGTTGTTTTGTCTGTCACTTTAGAATGATGTATTAGTTACTCGTTTTCCAATTTTGCCCTTAATATTCCTAATTCGTCTCGATCTTTGATGCTTACAAAGAAACAATGATTCCCCGCGTAGAATTACATCGCCTAGATAAATTATCTCGAGTTTACATATAAATTTCTCTCGAGTTCATTTGCGATTAGTTGGACTGTTTTAACCGACAAATGCTGCCAAATGATAGGGATTTGCCGGTTGAGAAACTAAAAGACGTGACGGCAGCCGAAGCTTTAAAGCACCCGATCTGGAATAATATGGGGAAAAAGGTCACAATAGACTCTGCTACACTCTTCAACAAGGTAACTTCCTTAGTAGGTAAATTTGACACCGTAAGGGTGGACGTGTAAGACAATACATAGTTGAGGGGGGTTTTTGTAATTTGGCCTTACCTCAGGGGGTTGGCCGTAATTTGCTTTAATACAATTAAGGGCTTATTGCATTATTATAAAATAAAAGTAATTCATTTTGTCTTTACAGGGTTTAGAAGTTATAGAAGCCCACTATCTGTTTGGGGCTGAATACGATGATATCGAGATCGTTATTCATCCTCAATCTATCATACATTCAATGATCGAGACACAGGTAAATAAATTCAGTGTTTATTAATCCAAATACCTCGTACTTATACTGCTGCATAAGCTGCTTTTATTATATATTTTTTTATTTCGTATTTTTTTCTTTCTAGGATTCATCTGTAATAGCACAGTTGGGGTGGCCCGATATGCGTATACCTATTCTTTACACCTTATCGTGGCCCGAAAGAGTTTACTGTTCCGAGATCACTTGGCCCCGCCTCGATTTTTGCAAGTAATTTACTCATTTACCCCTGCCCTCATATCAACATTTTAACAGCTGACGTGTCTTTACTCGTTGATTTGAAGAATAATTTGAACTGCTGAAAACCCAATTTTTAGACGCTTCGTTACAATTTAGCTAGTTCTGATTAATTATTTTTTTGATTATTTTTGTTTTTTTAATTTTTAGGCTTGGATCTCTCACATTCAAGAATCCCGACACTGCGAAATATCCATCAATGGATCTAGCTTATGCTGCTGGACGAGCTGGTGGGACCATGACCGGTGTTCTTAGTGCAGCTAACGAGAAAGCCGTCGAATTGTTTATCGATGGGAAGTAAGACTTTTTCTTCCTTAAGTTTGATTTGATGAGTTTAATAATCTTTTGTAATTAAAAAAAAAATTAATTATTTTAATGTACGAATGTTTACTTGCTGCAGAATAAGTTACCTGGACATATTTAAGGTTGTGGAGCTAACATGCGATAAGCATCGGCCCGAACTGGTGACATCACCGTCGCTCGAGGAAATTATACACTACGACTTGTGGGCCCGCGATTTTGCCGCCAGTTTGCAGCCTCAGCTGGTTTAAAAGTCCGGCTCAGCTAGCTGATGAAATATGTTCAATTAGAATAATTAAAATAAGCAAAAACCATATGAAAATGATTGTTACTTCACTTTGAATGATTGAATGAGTGGTTGGTTTTGGGCGACCATTTTTTTTGGCTGAATGGAGTATGTACATGTTTATGACTTGTGAATTATCTCAACTGTTATGGATGAAATGAATTGCTAATAATTACGGTCACCTTTGAGGTAAGTTCAAATTACGAAAAAATATCTTCTGTTTGGATAATTAAAACCATCATCTTCAACTGTGTATTGTCGTATGAAAACCTTCCTCATTCAGTAGATAAATTTGATATTGTAAAGGTGGACGTGTAAGACAATACATAGTTGAGGGAGGTGGTTGTAATTATCCAAATATGACGGATTTTTTCGTAATTGTACTGACCTCAGGGGTTGGCCGTAATTATTCTAACCATTGATTAGTTAATTTGGTAATTTGAACTTACCTCATGTGGTGGCCGTAATTACGACAATTACATGATAAAAGTAAAATATATTCCTTTCAAATAAAATTCTTGTATAAATAAAAATAATTTTCTTGAAAAATAAAAGTGGGTCCACTGTATGACATAATCATAAATCATTACATAATTTAACTATATATTAATAAATAAATCTATGTCATCTTTATGGGGTAACCATTTTTTTTTTCCATTGTGCAATTAGTCAACTTATTCGCTCTTATAAATACATGTTTTCTGTTACTCCACTGAAATATGTTTAGATACTTCATTATTTAAACTTTGATTTCTTGTTTGTTGTGAAGATAAAATTAAATAATTTAATAAAATCCAATTATATTACTGGATCTTGGAAAATCTAGTAAAAAACTTGCATAAAAGATAAGATAATATAATATTTGTGAGTCGACCCATCAAGTTGTTGGGATACCCAATATCAAATAAGGTCGCATTATTTAATTAATTTTGAATAATTTTCCGAACCAAACGAGATCTGAGAGGATTAATTAATTTACAGTCACAAAAAGGCTAAAATTCAACCATCTTTAATTATGATATATTAATTTAAATGACTCCTATCCTAAGATAATACTTAATAGTATATATGTTTAGTGGGGTTTCTAATCAGTGCCGGCTCAAGTGCTCAACCATATAATAAGATTGTTAGGCCATTATTAAAATTTATCTTCATAATAAATTAGTCTAAATAACTATATAAGCTTTTTAGTAAGACTAAGAATATCTATTTTCCAAGTCTTCTATTCATTTTTTTATTCTTTTTTATTGCATTCAGCACACTTGTGTTTACTCAATTGTTAATTTCGTCGTGCTATTAGATTAAAAAAAATCATATTTGTGATTTATTGTCTTTTTAGAAAACAATCCTCTAAAACCTCACTATTTAACCAATGGTGCAAACTAAGGTTTAAAATGTCTTATAAATATAAAATATTCTTGAATTCAATTGAATTTCCATTCAATTGTTTTATATATATGAATTCAATTGAATTTTCATTTAATTGTGTTTAACTAGTGGCGTGGCGGAGCCAGCATAGGTTGGGTGACATGACCTCCTAACATTTCTCAAATGTCTATTACTTTATACAAAATTTTAAAAATTATTTCGCTCATTATATATTTTGGAAAATAATAATTTCTTTTGTTGATTAATTGTATAATAATTAAATTACCTTTACTTAATTATTTTAAAAAAATTATGGGGTTCCTAAGCAAGTATATTTTATAGGAACTTTAATACCTATATGATGAGATTTTATTCGAAATTCGGCGCAATATATGCCTAACCAGCACCAAATGGAAGATAATAAAACAAATTGAACTCTTTTAAGAAAATTGGACTTTTCACAAGAGAATAATATTTGGAAAGGAATAGGAATCATATAGCCTTCTATTCCAAGAATTCATCCTATTTTCCAACTTGTGGAATTTTATATTTAGTTAATTGCATCACAATGCGAAATTTCTCGACCCATAACTCCTCTCCCTGACCCGACAGATTTTTAATGGAAAAATGTAAATCATTGTGACTCAACGACTCGTTAGATAGCGGATCTAGGCCCACAAGCCACACTGAACCAACCCTTTATTGGAGTTGAAATTTTCACAGTACGGCTGCTATTACTCGATCATCGACCCTAGGATCTGGCATCAAATTACAATCCCGAGACCAGTTAAGCTGTACCCATATTGGCTTATATTTAGTTAATTAAAATAATTAGAAAAGGATAGAATCATAAAGAATACCTCCATGCAGTCCACGCGATGTGCTTGATTCCTCAACTGTCTCTTACTTCATTTGTCTTCTTACCCTTATTTATAAATCCATTTTTTAAATCCATCCTCCACATAATAATAATAATAATAATAATAATAATAATAATAATAATAATAATAATAATAATAATAATAATAATAATAATAATATGGAGAGTTTTTGCAGGACCTCAGGCGCTACTATTTATTCTAAAATTAATTGGTGTTAGAAAAGACGCAAATCCAGCATTATAGTGCACTCTTTCAAAAGAGTGTTAAATCAATAAACGCTACTCCCTCCGTTCCTAAATAGGTGTCGTTTTTCACCTTTTCACAAATCTTAAGAATCTCAATAAATATTTCTTGATTTTAGGAAAATAGATATTGATGGACAAAAATACCCTTATTTATTAATTAATGCAGGAAGAATGCTATAGAGTTAAAAAGGGTAAAATTGAAAAATAAACAATTAATGCAGCATTGGAATTGTAAAGTGACAGATAATATGGAACAAAAAAAATTCTCAAAAGAGACAGATATTATGGAACAGGGAGAGTATTAGATTTCATAATTATAATGTAATTAATGCATGGTTATTTCATACTGTTTGTGACCTAACTAAATTTCGATGAATTTATTACACCTCCCAAGTCAGCATAATTAACATTTAATATGGTATAATCGGCACTAGTTTTTGACTTTTTTCACACCCTTAAAAAATATAATTTCATTAAATGTATTGCATATAGTAAATTGTATTGGATTTCTTACAAGACCACATGGTTAAAAAATGTTATTCATTTATTTAAATCTATATTTAAAAAAAAAAAATTATACAGCAAAGATTATAGTTAAATATGAGTTGGGCAAGTTGGTGTAATGTTTCAATTAATACTTAATACCACCCCCAAGAGAGGGGAGACATGTATTACAGTATTAGTGCCACACTCTCTCTCTCTCTCTCCCCTCCGTAACACTTTCTCTCTCTAAAAACTGTCACTAACCTGTATGTATCTCTATATATTTTGCCATCCTTGACCAACTCGAAAGTACACTGTTCTTCCTTATTTATCTTTCTTTCTTCATTTATACACAAAAACAAAAGCTTTATTTATTTTTATTTATTTATTTTTCATCCTTAAATTCATATCTCTCTCTCTCTCTCTCTCTCTGCAGAAGAGCTGTGTGAAATCTGAAATGGCTCTAAATATGCTCTCTCCAACTGAATTAAAAACCCTTTCGTTCATGGATTCCTCCAAATCCAATTACAACCTTAATCTCCTCAAATTCCCAGGTATTTATATTTATTTATTTATTTTCAATTTTTATTTTTATTAGGTGGCAAGTTTTTCTGGATAAGAATTGATGGGATAGGCGTAGTTGATTTTATTTTTATTTATTAATTAAATTCCTTGTGATTTTTCCAGTCTCCAATTTGAGGTGATTGGGTTTGGTTGACTAATTTCAGTGATTTTGACTTTTTTTTTTTGGGTGGAATTTAATTTCATGTGATTATATATGTACAGGTGTATTTTCTTTGAAGAAGAAGGAAAATGGAAGCACTGGTTCTAGAAGGTTCCGTTGCTCGGCGGCTCAGCCGCCTCCACCGGCTTGGCCCGGTCGAGCCGTTATTGAGCCGGGTCGAAAAACTTGGGATGGTCCTAAGCCTATTTCAATTGTTGGATCTACTGGCTCCATTGGAACTCAGGTGAGATAATTAATTTAATATTATTTAATTAATTTTGTGAAATTGCTAAATTAAGGACCTAAAAAAAATGAAATTTCTTGTGATCGGCAGACATTGGATATAGTTGCCGAAAATCCGGATAAATTCAGAGTCGTCGCACTTGCAGCTGGTTCGAATGTGACTCTTCTTGCTGATCAGGTGATTAATCGATAATTTTAAATGTTTTTTTATTTCATTTTTCGAATTAGTCCGCCAGTTTCATATTATCTGTCACGTTAGAATTAGAATTAGAATTCCAGCGATGCAGTAATTATTCATTTTCCAATTTTGCTCATATGATTCGAAAAAAAATCTGCGGGCATTAAATTCTCGTCAATAAGGGGATTAATTAACGGAGAGAATCTACGGCGATGATATTTCATTCATATTATATAGAAGTCATATTATCGAAAATGGATTGAGTAAGCTACTCCCTCCGTTTCATATTATCTGTCGTTTAAGATTCCGGCACAAGTATTAAGGAAAACTAATAAACATTTTTCATTTTAGAAAAAAAAAAAGTGCACTTAATGGACGAAAATACCCTTTCTTATTATTTCTCTATCTAATAATTGATGCATCATTGGAACTCTAAAGTGACAGATAATATGAAATGGAAAAAAAAATCTCGTTAATTTGAAACGGAGGGGAGTATTAAACGATGGTGTTAATGAATGTCATTTACTTATGTTTTTTTTGATAATTATGTAATTTACTTATTCATTACCTTGTGGATAATAGAATACGTAAATCTTAGTGATTATGGATATAATTCTAGGATTAAATCACTAATTAATACCTCGAAAGCACAGGTGAAGAGATTTAAACCGCAATTAGTTTCTGTTAAAGACGAGTCGTTAGTGAACGAGTTGAGAGAGGCTTTAGCTGGTGTGGAAAACATGCCGGAAATAATTCCAGGCGAGCAGGGAATAATCGAGGTTGCTCGTCATCCTGATGCTGTTACTACTGTCACTGGCATTGTTGGTTGTGCTGGTTTAAAGGTAACATAAAATTCAATTTTTTTTTTCTTCGTAGTTAAGTAAAATAAATTAATTCCGATAGAAAAATGATCGTTTTTTCGATGATTTTAGCCTACAGTGGCTGCCATAGAAGCTGGGAAAGACATTGCTTTGGCCAACAAAGAGACACTAATTGCTGGAGGGCCTTTCGTCCTCCCTCTTGCGAAAAAGCATAATGTCAAGATTCTTCCGGCAGATTCCGAACACTCTGCCATATTTCAGGTATATGTTTTTGAAATCAAAACGGTATTAGTAAAATTGAAACGACGTTTAACATTTCAGTTCAGGGATGTGATATATGCCAATTCACTTTTAATACTACCGTTTCGTTTTCCAAAATGTGATTTTTTGACAATATTTGAGTCTGAATTTGGCAAAACTCAAAACATGGAATTTGTAGTTCTTTGATTTAGGTTTCTAATCAAACTTGAATCACTAAAATTGGATGTCGGGTGAGAAAGATATGCATGAATCAATGAACACTGGCCACAACGTTTTTTATGCTTTGAGTTATCTGAAATTCGAAACGTAACTCGTTCATGCATAACTTTGTCGCCCGGCGTCCAATCTAGCTTATTCAAGTAGGATTAGAAAGCGAACTCAAAGTACTGCAGTTTACTACGTTTTTTGAGTTTTGCCAAAAATCAGACCAGAAACTGGTCAAAATCACATTCGAAATCGAAACGGTATTAGTAAAATTGAAATGACATTTAACATTCCCGTTTCAAAAATAAATTTTGTGATGTTTATTTAACATATATTTCATTTATTTTCGTTCTTTTTCAGTGCATACAAGGCCTTCCAGAAGGTGCCCTTAGGCGCATCATTTTGACTGCATCGGGAGGTGCTTTCAGGTGCGCTGATTTTTAATTATTTATAAAAGAAGTTTGCATTAGAATTTCGTCATTATCTTTCGTTTTGTTTTAATTTTTATGATTTGTGATTAATTAGATTCTTGTAACCGGAAAATTCTGCAAATGATAGGGATTTGCCGGTTGAAAAACTAAAAGACGTAAAAGTAGCCGATGCTTTAAAGCATCCGAATTGGAATATGGGGAAAAAGATCACAGTCGACTCTGCCACACTCTTCAACAAGGTAAACTCGATTAAGGGCTCATTGCATTATGAACTATTAATAATACTTTTATTTATTTATTTATTTATATTAACTATTACGTAATATATTTCGTATTTACAGGGTTTGGAAGTTATAGAAGCCCACTATCTGTTTGGAGCTGAATATGATGATATTGATATCGTTATTCATCCTCAATCTATTATACATTCAATGATCGAGACACAGGTAAATAATTCTACTTTTTTATTATCAATCCAAATAACTTGTACTTAAAAGCTGCTTTTTCTTTCTTTTTTTAAATTACATTTTCTTCGTAGGATTCATCGGTGCTAGCACAATTGGGATGGCCCGATATGCGTATACCTATTCTGTACACTTTATCGTGGCCCGACAGAATTTACTGTTCCGAGATCACTTGGCCCCGCCTCGATCTTTGCAAGTAATTTACACATTTACCCTTTCCCCTTATATAAACATATTTAACAGCCGAGATGCCTTCGAATTTAGTGGTCGATCTGAATTTTAATTAATCTGTTGAAAATCGAATTTTTAGACGCTTCAGTAGAATTTAGTACCGATTTTTTTTTTTAAATTAATTTTTTTTAATGGTTTAGGCTTGGATCTCTTACTTTCAAGAGTCCCGACAATGTGAAATATCCGTCGATGGATCTAGCTTATGCTGCTGGCCGAGCTGGTGGGACCATGACTGGGGTCCTTAGTGCAGCTAATGAGAAAGCCGTTGAACTGTTTATCGATGAGAAGTAAGCATTTTTATTTTTATTTTTTCGTACTTAATTGTGTTTCAATTATTATGTTTAAAATTGTCAATTCCAATGAGTTTATTATTTTTTTGTAATTCTTGACAAAAAATAAGATATGAAAATACGTACACCTACTCTTATAAGTTCTAGAGACAGTGGGCGGAGGCAATATATTTGGGGGCTATGACCTCCCATCAATTTCGAAAAATCTACTATTTTTATACAGAGATTTGATATTTTTCGAGTAGTGCAGTATTGTCGAACTTTTTAGATCTTGTGATACCATATGATACTTTTACGAGTGATGATTTTTATTTTATTTTTTATTTCGTTGTTGCAGAATAAGTTACCTGGACATATTTAAGGTTGTGGAGCTAACATGCGATAAACATCGGGCGGAATTGGTGACATCACCGTCGCTTGAGGAAATCGTACACTACGACTTGTGGGCCCGTGATTATGCCGCCAGTTTGCAGCCATTGGCCGGTTTAAGTCCGGCTCTTGTATGACCGGAGATAATTTGTAATGGTTGTTCATCATGAAAACAGTTGGAAAAAAAAATCACATTGTTTTTTTCTAAGTGAAAAACCACAAGATGTTGAGCAAATGAATAATTTGATGTCACTTTACTAGATTCTTTTAAATATAACAATTGCTTGATTCAACTCTCACTCCCAATTTGGGGTTGAAAAATTGATCTCATTCCCAAATTGGGAGTGAAGTCGAAAATTTCACTCCCAAATAAGTAGTGGAAAAGTCGATTTTACTTTCAAATTCGAAGTGAGATTGAATTTTCGTAAAAACTGAATGAAGTTTATCAATTCCCTCCAGTAAATTGAAAATTTCCATATATTGGACTAGACACGGCCATGGGCCGGTTCGGGCCGGTTCACTCCGGTTCGCGGTTCACTTTTTCCGGAACCGGAACTGGCCCGTACTACACACGGTTCGGCGGGCCGGGCCGCCGGTTCGCCGGTTTCCGTGCCTATCCGGGCTGGTTTTGGGCCGGCCCGGAAATTTATATTTATATATATATTTTAAAAAAAAATACTTAATGGATAAATAAATTAAAATAATTACTTTTAAATAGGAAAAAAACAAAAGAAAATAAATAAAAGGACTTTAACTTAATTTTATAGGAAAAAATGGGGTATGAGGGTATTTATAGGAAAAATTGATTGAGGGGATTCAAAAAATAACAAATAACGGTCGGTTCAGCTTTTTTCAGTTTTTTCCAACTTTTTTTTAATTTTTTTTTTAAATTCGGGTGAACCACGGTTCACCTATTCCTAGAACCGGGCCCGTCCCGGGACGACGGGCCGGTTCACCGGTCAACGGTTCGGGCCGGTTCCGGGCCGAAAACCGGCCCATGGCCGTGTCTATACTTGACTGGTAAATATTGGTCTTGTACAACAGTCCGCAATTAAATTGTACTGGATCAGCCATCTAAGTTGAGTTAGGCCTAAAAAGTATTAGCAGGACAAATCAAACTCGAGTTCAACATTATGCTCTTCTACTTCACCAACTGAGCCGATCCTTCCGATTGGGGGTAAATTACAAACACCTCTCTGATGTAACGTTTAATTATTTAAAAATCCATTCTTTTTGGGAAACTACATTTAGCCCCATGCAGTTTGTAAATTTCTGACATCCACTTCCCTATAAAAGGGCGTTAATGTAAAAAATATACAAATTACAGAGGGTGAATGTAATTATGAAAAAGTTAGGGGTTTGTCCGTAAACAGATCTTACCTTAGCGGATCAGTTGTAATTTACCTAATTTAAGTGCCTTAACTAGGGGTGTAAACGAGCTGAGCCGACTCGTGAGCTCGAAGAGCCGGCTCGTAAAAAGCTCGAACTCGGACTCGAGATTTTCGAGCTCGAGCTTTCTGACGAGCCGAGCTCGAGCCGGTTTTCAGTTGTTCATGAGCTCGCGAGCCGGCTCGCGAGCCGAATTTATTATTATTTTATTTATTTATTTTTTATTTTTTATATGTTATTTTTATTTAAATAATGTATAATAATGTAAAATATTATAGAAATAAATACAAATATTAAAAATATATATAATTACAATTTAGTTTTTATTTTTTATTTTTTATTTTTTTAAATAATTTTTAATAATAAAATAATAATTAAAAAATATTTAAAAAAAAAAAAACAATGGGCTCGAGCTCGAGCTCGACAAAATTGACACGAGCTCGAGCTCGAGCCAAAAAAAGAGGAGCTCGACGAGCTCGAGCTCGAGCTCGAGCTCGACAGAATAAACTCGAGCTCGAGCTCGAGCCAGCCAAAAGAGGCGAGCTCGGCTCGTTTACACCCCTAGCCTTAACACAACATGTGGGCTTGAAAAAAGGATCAAATTTGGGCCGATTAATGAGCCCATCGAAGCTAAATGGGCCAAATAGGGCTTTCATATTTATTGAGATAATCATTTACAGATAAGCAAATTTAGTCAGCAATTAACGAAAATCACATACAAGATCAAATTACTAATTATTTTTCAAATTGACTATTAATGAAGAATGTGATGAATCCTCGATTTGTGATTAAATACTTTTTTTTTCTTTTAAATAGTCTATATTTTTGTGAGATGTGTACTTTAATCTGGCAAAGTGGGCCAAATCCATAATCGAGCTGGATCACCAAGTAGATTAGGCCCATCGCGGATAATAACCTTGACAGAGGTGTTTTATCTGGAAGACTATTTTGCTTGGAAGATACGTCGCCCATAGATACGAAAAGGGATAAAAGTTGGAGTAAGTGAGCATGTATCAATTGACCCATATTCGAATCATTTATTAACGGTCGCTAGATCGAGCTTATCATACATGATTAGCCTATTGTTCGTTGAATTTTTCAGTATTAGTTAAAATATTTATTGAGGAGAGTGATTGTTCATCTTACCTCATAATTGTAATCTTGAATCATCCTAGGAAAATGGCATGAAACCAAATTATGGAGTGAGAATTAAGGCTCCACTTATCAAGAAAGGCAAAAACAAAAAAATATGAACCATAATTAAATAAATAATTTAATGTAAAATTTAATATTTGATAAATTGTTTAACATCTACTTTTAAACAAATAACATTAGCTGAAAGGAGAAAAAAAAATTGTATAGATCCTAAATTTGTGAGCAATTTTCAAGAATGCCATCATAACACAAGTAATTGCTATTCATTTACTTCAAGGAAAAAAAGTATAAAATAAAAAATAAAACTATTTTTTTCATCTAAAATTGGAATAAAATTATGGAAATTATAATTTTGGTACACAAGGGGAATATAACATCAAATAAGGTGAGGTCCCTTCGTTGGGATTTGGTTATGCTTTCAAGAGATATGGGGGCATATATATGTGGAACTTATACTCTCTTTTTGCAGACTACAAAAGAAGCAAATAAATAAATAAAATAAAATATATATAAATAAGGAAAAATAAAAACATGCAAGTGAAAAATTATCTAAATTTCACATGCTATTGCTCCTGAAATGCACTACAATTATATGCACCTTTCACTTTATAGAATTGTGTGTGGCTCAATAGAGAAATTATTTTATGGTGTAAATCAGTAAAACCTCGATAAATTAATAAATTTGGTTAAATAAAAAAAATTATCGGTACCGACTCGGTGAAAATGTATTAAATTATTAGTTCGATAATTTAATATTTTGCTTGTAGTTCTTTGTATTAGCTTTCTAATTCAACTTGAATCACCAAGATTAAATGTTGGATGATAAAGATGTATATGAATCGATGGGCATTGCCCAGAACTGTGATGTTTTAAGTTATCTAAAATTCAAAATGTTACTCATCCCTGCATAATTTTGTCCCACGACACTTGATTCAAGTTGGATTAAAAAGCGAACTCAAAGAACTACAATTCTTGTATTTTGAATTTTGTCACAATCAGACTTGAAATCGGTCCAAAACACTTTCGAAGTCAAAACAGTACAAATAAAAATTGAAACGACATTTAACATTTATGATATTTGAATTAGTATATGCAACTTCTCTTAATTGTTACTATGATGAAGTGGTGATGCTAATATTGTTGTTGTTAATTGTTGATGCTAAATATATTTTATAGGGTAAATTACAACCACCTCCTTGAGATAAAATGTAAATACAAAAAAAAAACCTTTATTTTTTAAACATTACATTTAGCCCCCTATAGTTTGTCAATTTCTTACACCAACCTCTTACAAAAGAGTGTTAATGTAAGAAATCTACAAAATTCAAGGGTTTGGATGTAATAATGAAAAAATGAGGGATTCTTTTGTAAATAAACCTTACTCAAGTGGTGGTTGTAATTCACCTATTTTCCAATGGGGCCAATCTAAATTTCCTTGAAACATAGGGACCATTTTGCAAATTTTAACATCACTGATAGTGAAGAAAAAGAGTGACAAATGAATCTTCTACTTTTCCCATATTACGAGGTGTGCCCCAAAGCTTTTGCAGTGGGATTGAGGACCAAAGACCAAGACCCAAAAGCACAGTGGGATTGACATTTAATTTCTTCCTAATAATTAGTTTTTTTTTTTTTTTTTTTTTTTTTTTCATTTATTTATCCTTTTAACTTACTTTTTTTATTTTATTTTATGTTATATGTATTTAATAAAGCAAAATTATGTTAATTGTATTAAGCAATGGTTGATTACTTGATTTTGTAAGTTAGAAAGTTTGTGCATTGAAATAGTACTCCCTCCGTTCCTAAATAATTGTCACTTTTCACTTTTCACAAAGATTAAGAAACTCAATAAATATATCTTGATTTTAGAAAAATCATATAAAAATGACTAAAACAATCTTTATTATTAAATGATTTATCAGAGAAAATTAATGAATAGAGTTTCATTAATAAGGTTAAAACAGGAAAAATGCATTTAATGCAGTATTAGAAATCTAAAGTGACAGATAATATGGAACAAAAATATTTTTAAAAAGAGACAGTTATTGTGGAACAGAGGGAGTATTAGATTGTTGTCCATGGCCGATCCTAGGGTTCGGGAGGCCCTAAATGAAAATAATAAACGAGAACTTTTATATTTTTAATATAACATAAATCTAAATATATTAATATTTTTATATAATATTCAATAATTTTGATTAATGGTACACAGAATAAAGTAGTGTGGTTGGGTTTATTTAAAATAAATTGATAAATTTTAATTGAAGTAATTTTAAAAATCTTTGACCAACAATAAAATTATGGGTAAATAGTACTTAACCCCGCTGTGGTTTGAGCTTTGTGCACATGATCCCCTTGTATTTTCAATATAAGCACATAATCTCCTTGTAGTTTGAATTTTGTGTAAATGACCCCTTGTACTTTTAATATAAGCGCATAATCCCCCTATTATATTTCATTTGGTAAAAAATCATGTTCATTAGTAAGTTGAAACTTTTGAAAGTACAAGGAGGTCATATGTTTCTATTAAAATACAAGGGAGTTATTTATTTATACTAAAATACAAGGGGGTCATGTGCTATATTAAAAGTACAATGGGTTATACGTACAAAGTTCAAACCACAGAGGGAGCAAATGTTGTTTATCCTAAAATCATATAACATATGGGTTTTTTTGGAGTTTCTTTAACAACATTAGTATTTTTTTTTTGACCATACAACATTAGTATTTCAAAAAGAAAAAAAATCCATTATTTTACGTTGTATTTACAATTTATTGAACAAAAAAAGAAATATATAACATTCGTGGGCCATTTTCGACACTTAATACAAAATATTGGTATAAAAAATGTAATTTCCAAAAAATAATTTTTTTTTTTGAAATTAGTTTCAACAACTAAAATCATATCGAAGAAATAAAATAAAATTTCTACTGAAACCGTTTACAAGTTATTGCACGAGAGCACTTCGAGTAATGAGTTTCTTGTTAATTAAAAATAACTAAAAATTAGTAACAAACATTTTGCTTTGGAAGTGCCCTACAAAAACAATCGTTTTGCTTTCTAAGTGCCCTACAAAGATTAAATAGCCATTAAAGAATGTACCCTAAGCTCACCTGATTTGACACACATATATATCAATAATGGGCAAATCATAATTCAAATTGAGAAAAATAAATAAATAAATGATATTTAAATTGAAAAGGACAACCATTTTAACTTGAGCAAGAAATCTACGTTTGAATAATTTAATTTGGTCCAGGTGGGGGTAGTTCAAATAATCCTGTCCTTAATCCAAATCTTTATTGACTTTGGAATTAGAAAATGAACTTGTTTTCTTGATAAAGTGATCATAATAGTGGTTTCCTAATAAATAAATAAATTCTTTGCTTTGTTTATTTTAAGTGGAAATCATTGGAAAACACAAGAAATGAGCGTGGAAAAGCAATTAATTTACAGGTAATTATTCAATTGTGCCCTCACTTATTTGTTAACCTTTTTGTTAATGACAAGACTTTTTATACATGAACAATATTTGAGATTAGTGTGATTGTGGTATTGAGATACTGCACCCGGTGAAGTACAACAGATGATTAATAACTTGTCACTAAGCACACATATACATAGGTGTGTGCGTGTGATTATACGCAGATTAATGGTTAATAATCATTAGGTGTATAATTCAATGGCTGTAACATCAAATAAAGTTGTTGATTGAATAGCGCGAAAGCAATATTTTGCAATTTCTTCAATGCTATAAGAGGTTTTATACTATGCTACATCGGGTAGATCCTTACCATTCATAAGCACATAAACACACACACATCCACATTGCTATGTGTAGATTAACGGTAAAAGTTCACCCAATGTAGCCTTCACCGGGTATAGCACAGAAATTACCCTATAAGAGGAAAGTTTAATTAAGAATTCCATGTTTATCGAATATTTTGTCATAAATTTTAGTAATATAGATAGGTATTTGTTAACATTTAATTATTTTAACGTTTTTCTACCATTGTTCTATAATAACTGTCTCTTTTTAAAAATAGTTTTATTACATATTTTCATAACTCAATTAAATACATTTTTACTATTTTATTCTTATTAATTAAACTCTAAGGCCCCGTTTGGTTGCCAAGATAAGCCATGATTAACTAAATAGTTGGACTTAATTTGATGTTTGGTATCCTCAATAACTTGCCGGGTCGACCCGCCAAAATTATATAATCATGGCTTATCTTGTCTTATCTTGGCTTATCTTGCCTTTTAATGAGTTTTTTTTTTTGACCTTTTAAGCTCCAATAAAATAATTGGGTCTCATTAGATTATTTAATCTTATCTTGGCTAATCTTATCTTGTCAACCAAACGGGGCCTAAGTATTAACTTTCTCTTATCATGACACTAAACGATCAAGGTTATTTTAATCTTTTTAGTGTATTTTTCCTCAAATCAAGACACGTTTATTGACATTTTTAATATTTGCGCAAAGCTAAAAAACGACAATTACTTAAGAACTTAGAGAGTAGTTTATAACTTTATATTTGGCTCTCATGAGCATAAAATTCTAGTCCCGCCACTGATGTATATCAACCCGATACATAACACCATTAATTATTTTATTTTTTTTAAATAATGTGATTAAAGTGTTAAATACATACTTTGTCAAAGGTTCAAAAGTAGGAAATAACTAATGGGGACGGTTAGATGAATAAACAAATATAATAAATACAAATTGGTGTTGACTTTGTCACTGTTCAAACTCTTCTGGTCTTACAAATTGGAACATTCCTTTTCACAGTTCACACAAAGATTTTTTCTATTATAATTTATAATAAACAAACTAAAATAAAACTATAGTTGAACTTGTTGGAGCCCATTTAATAAATAATATATAAAAATGAAATATATATTTGATTTATAAATTTTGACAAATAATGAACTAATAGTATATCAACCTTTTTTTTACCCCTATAACTTAGTTAAACAATTTTTATCTTTAATAATTTTGAACTTAAAAAATAAAGGGAAAATTACGGCCACCCCTAGGTAAGGTCAAATTACGAAAAACCTCTTCATATTTGGTAATTACAGCCACCCCTCTCAACTATAAATCTTCTTACACGTCCATCCTTGCGGTGTCAAATTTAGTGGAATCTTCTTGATTATATAGAATGATCTCAATTTTGTACCCGTTTTATCCCATTCGAGCTCCACATTTTGAAGCAAGATAATGTAAGATGTGTTTTTTCTTGTATATATATATATATATATATATATATATATATATATATATATATCAGATTGTGGTGCATTGTATTTTTGCACAAAACGAGTACAAATTATAAAACATTCTACGAAATCTAGAGGATTATATTGAATTTAACACCATAATAATGGACATGTAAGAAAATTACAAGTTGATGGGTGTCGTTGTAATTATCCAAACATGATGAATTTTTTCGCAATTTAATCTTATCTCGTGAGGATAGCCGAGATTTACACTTAAATAAATGAGTTTAGTTTTGAGTATAATCTTACTGATTTCAAGGATTTTAATAATGAGTTTTTATACAACAAGTTATTTATTATTGGTCTAAAATGTATATATACAAAAATACAACTGTCCTGTAATGAAAGAAAATTATAGTCGAAGGATGTTTAGCAAATTGCCCCTAAATTTAAAATACAAATACTAATTTTACAATAAATTATAAAAACAATTTCATATACATTACCACACGAAACCTCACTAAATAAAATAAATATAATAAATTTTCAAAATGGCTGCAAATTTTTACTGAATCCATTGACATTTACGTTAGAGAAAAAGCCCACTAAATCCTGTTTATACGGCAAGTACGACCGCCGCTTCCCCACTACATCCCGGCTGTACAACGGCGGGGACGGAGGCGGCGCCGCCGCCGCCGGTTTCACTTTCCCACCTCTTTCTTCGTTCTCCTTTTTCCTTCCACTGTTGCTCGGACTTAAAAAGACGAAACTGTCCTTAATCCCATCGCTGTGGCTCCTATACAGCAGGTCTTTGAATTTCCATCTCTTCGAATTAGAGCCGGCGGAGCTGCTCTTTTTGCGCAGATCCTCCGCCGCCGCCGCCGCCTCCTTCGGCTGCCACACGCAGTACGTCTCCGCCGGAACGCCGTCCAGATCATCCACCTCCGACGACGAAGAGCTCGTAGTCGTCATCGTCGATTCCCTCTCCGCGATAAACAGCTTCCTCAACGGAAGCCGAATCGCCGGACCTTTCTCCGGGGACGAATCACGAACGCCGTTTACCTTTTCGTTGCCGTTTTGAAACTCCACGAACAAATTCCGGTTAAAAACAGGGTAAACCGGTCGGATCTGACCGTTGTGGAAGATCTCGTCGGCGGAAACAGGGGAAGCGGATAAATCGGAATCTCTGGTCGTCGCGAAAGCGAATTCGAATTCTTCGTGTTCGACGGAATCTGAATTTTCATCTTCTCCGGAGGATGGAATCTCTCCTCCTCCCCTATCGAAGTAGAACTCGTCGTAGAATTCCTCGGAAGCGAATTCGTCGACTACACGCGCCGCGATTGCGGCGATTTCGGTGTTGGAATAGCTGTTGAAGCTGGGCGAGAGCGAGATTACCGAACTCGCCTGCATCATCTTCTTCTCCGGCTGCAAAAGGCGGAGGAAAAACCAGTTTGAAAATTTCTCTCTCTAGAATCTCAATTATCCAGCTGTTTCGAAATTCTCTCTCTAGAATCTCAATTATTCAGCTGTTTAATTTTGGGGAAGAGAGAGAGAGAGAGAGAGAGAAGAGTGGAAAATGTTGAAGATATTGAAGTTTGGGTGTGATGAAGAAAGTTAGTTGGAAGGGCCGAAAGTATGGGGGTGAGCACAGGGGATTATATAGCTCTGATTGGTTGTGAATAATATTAATTTAATAATTAATAATTAATAATAAATTAATGAAAGAAAAAGGGAGAAAAGGCCAAAAAACGCGCGCCACGGGAAGGCTGTGATCGGGTGGGCTACGGTTCAGCGTGGATTTTGTGCCACTTCTAGGGGGGGTTGGCAATTCAATTTGGAAAGTATTGTGTTAATGAAAAATTGGTGGATATATAATTATATTTATCCAAAGAGAACAAATTATAAAACATTATAAACAAACAAACGATTGGTGGATATTATGTGGAAATTGAGTTTCTTTACATGTATATTTAATAGGGCTGGCAATCGGGCCATGTGAGTCGAGCTTCGGTCGGCTCAAGCTCATATACCATCGAACCTCGTAGTTATAGGCTCAAACTCAAATACCATCGGGCCTTGTGCCTATAGGCTCAAACTCGGCTCACGTATTTTTTCGGGCTTTGGGTTTATATCGGGCTTATACCGGACAATATATAAATTACATATTTTACAACTTTGTAGCCGAACATGTTAAAAAAACACAACAACTAATACTATGATAAATTAAGAATACTCATTGCAAGTCGAAAACAATGATAAATTAAGATAAGACTTATATCTAGAATAATCATTGAAAGAAAAAAAAAACAGGGATAAATTAAGATTACCTTCATTAGTGACAAAAGAAACCCTCAAGTTAAAATTTGCAACATACTGTTAACGTTAGGGTTTTGCATATACTAGGTTTTATATTTATATGAATGAAGAAAATGTTAGTATTTTTTACATTAATAAACTTTTCACTTGGATTTGATTAAATTTATAAATTAATTACTACTAGTTGTTAACTTGTTTACATCCATTCGTGTGTGTGTGTCTATATATATATATATATATATATATATATATATATATATATATATATATATATATATATATTAACTTAGTCGGGCTTTATTCGGGTTGAGCTATGGTAAGCTCAAACTCGGCTCATAGTTTAATCGGATTTAATAAAAAGGCTCAAACTCGACCCGGCTCACAATTTATCGAGCTCGGTTCATATAAAATCGGGCCGAGCCATCGGGCTTCGGGCAAGCCCGGCTCAATTGCCGGTCCTAATATTTAAAGATGAGCCGCGCTATTTCCATCGTCTTTTTATCTCAGCTCACCACTAGGTTCATAATAAATTGTTTTATAATAACATTACAATAAATGTAGAAAACACTCTTAAATAATAAAATTTTGTGTGCTCTAATAATATTTTGTTTCACCAGTGCAGACCATATTATTTTTTATACAATCATATCAAGAATGCAAAGTAACAACTGATGTCACACTTTCGATGAACAAATATGAGAAATTGTCACAAACGAAAAGAACATGAGTTTTTGGATGCAAATGCATAATAATTATCCAAAATCTTCGAATGGGTTCAAAGTTAAAAATATCAAACATTGTATGTAAAATTTGGGAAAAATGGGAAATAAAAGAATAGAGACAAGATGACGAATTTTATGTTGGTGGTGAATTTCAGATTATTATTTTAGGATAAGGTTAAACTTGTAAAACAAAGTAGTAAATATGTTTTTTTTTTTTAATAATTTAAAGTAGGTAGTGTAAAAAGATAAAAGACGGCGGAAATAGTGCGCCTCTTCAAATTTAATATGTCGATTTAGAGGTTGAGTTTCTTTAAGTGCAGATTTAGGTCTCGAATTCGGTTTTTGAATTTTCGAGTTTTAGGGTGTTCGCTCGGCTAATAAATCGATCGAACCATAAAAAAACGTATTGAACCCAATAGTTTGGTCCGATAAACAGTATAATTTTTTGAAGTATCGACATTTCAATTTACCAAAATTTCGGTACTGTTCAGTACAATTTATCAAATTGAACACCCCTAGGCCCTAACTATTAGGGCAATTCGTCAAAATTGAGTCAAACAGCTAAATTAAAGAAAAAAGAAAAAAAAAAAAAAGAAAAAGAAAAACTTGATAAAAAGTAAGAAATAACTCGAGATTTGATCTCTGTTTGCCCGAAAAGAACATCAAAACAACGTTATTTCTTTTCAATTTGTTGAAATCGCAGTACCCAATCAATGTCTGGACTGGAAGAGCTGAGGAAGAAACTGGTCCCACTCTTCGATGCGGATATAGGGTTCCCATCCGGGTCGAATATCGACCCGTCCGATTCTTACATGGTAATAAAAATCCCTTCTTTTTTTAATTCATCTTTGAACCCAAAAGAAGAATAAAATTTGATTTTTTTGTGAAACAGTTATCAGATGGTGGAACAGTGAATTTGCTGAGCAAATCATACAATTACTACAACATAAATGAAATGGGGCTGCAGAAATGTAATAACTCTTCAGCCGATGATTGTGAGAAGACGTACAAATGTGCTTCGCACGAGATGAGGGTATTTGGGTCAATTGGCTCTGGTGCTAGCAGTGTTGTTCAGAGGGCTATTCATATTCCTAATCACAGAATTATTGCCCTCAAGAAAATTAATATTTTCGAAAAGGTATTTTTTTTTTATTATATAGATATAATTGTATGTGTGTGTATCTATATATGTGCTGAATCTTTTTTTGTTGTTGTGGTTTGAACTGGGATTTTTTCTTGATTGGGGTTTTGTTTAGGGATTCCGTTTGTCGTTTCCATGCGATTTTACACATTTTCGAGCTCGTTTTTTTGGAATTATGACGTTCGTTTGTTTGGGATACCGTAATTAAGCTAATGTTAGGTTGATTTAGGAATTTTCGTTTGTCGTTTCCATGCGATTGCTTGCGATTTTATACATTTTCGAGCTCGTTTTTTTGGAATTTAGACGTTCGTTTATTTCCGTAATTAAGCTAATGTTAGGTTGCTAGAAATGTTGATATACAGTTAAACCTCTATAAATTAATACAGTCGGGACTAGCAAAGTTTTATTAATTCAGCGAAATATTAAATTATCGAATTAATAAATTTAGTAGGTTTTTACTGAGTCGGGACCAAATTGAAATTATTATTTACGCGATGTTATTAATTCATCGATGTTCTACTGTATATAAAATATTTGAACCAAAAGTTGAATCTTCTTATTACGCAGTTTTCGTTCGAATTTAAGTACGTGTGTAATGAATAAGCTTGGCACTTCGTTCAATGCATTAGAGAAAGAATTACGATTTGAAAAGTGAAAAAGAAAACGTGTCAATCTAATACGAATATTTTACAGGAGAAAAGGCAGCAGCTTCTTACGGAAATAAGAACATTATGTGAAGCGCCTTGTTATCAAGGCCTCGTCCAATTTTACGGTGCTTTTTATACTCCCGACTCGGGGCAAATAAGTATAGCTTTAGAGTATATGGACGGAGGTTCTTTCGCAGATATCATTCGTATACGAAAGACTATAACGGAACCAATTCTTTCATCGATGGTGCAAAAACTCTTACTTGTAAGTCGTTTCACCTTATTACGACCTTATTGTAGTGTTTTTTTTTTCTTTCTTGATTTATAATATTTTTTCATGATTTTTTAAAGGGACTAAGTTACTTGCATGGAGTACAACACTTAGTTCACAGAGATATCAAACCGGCAAATTTGCTCGTAAATCTCAAAGGGGAGCCGAAGATTACGGATTTTGGGATAAGTGCTGGCTTAGAGGATTCAATGGCTATGGTTTGTTCTAACTTAGTTTATACATATCGTCGATTGTTTTTTCCTTTTCTTTTTGCTAACTTTTATGTGATGTGGGCCCCAGTGTGCGACTTTTGTGGGGACCGTTACATACATGTCGCCCGAGAGAATTAGAAACGAAAGTTATTCTTATCCAGCTGATATTTGGAGCCTCGGACTTGCACTTTTTGAATGTGCAACTGGCGAATTTCCTTACACTGCTAATGAAGGGCCTGTTAATCTTATGTTACAGGTAAAAAAAGATCGAGCGAATGTCGTTTTTACTTCGTTTAAGAGTAGTTCTCGTAATTCAATATTTGGATGCATTATTCTGATATATATATATATATATATATATATTCTTGATGTGTTTCGTGTTTTGTCTGAAGATATTGGATGATCCATCTCCTTCATTGTCGGGTAGGAATTTTTCGTCGGAGTTTTGCTCTTTTGTCGATGCTTGTCTCCAGAAAGATCCAATCGAACGGCCCACGGCTGAGAAGGTGAGCAATCGTAGAGCATCATATTATAAAAAAGATTCATAAAACAAGATCCCATTTTGACTTATGTGCTTGTTCTGCAGCTGCTTTCACATCCATTTATAACAAAGTACGAGGATTCTGGAATCAACTTAGAATCTTTCGTCCAAAGTATATTCGACCCGACACAGAGGATGAAAGATCTTGCAGATGTGAGCTAATTTTCTCAATTTTGATTTTTCGATAAATCTACGCTGAATTAATAATTTTATACTGACACATGCATGGCTTAATCAGATGCTGACGATACACTATTACTTACTCTTCGACGGCTCGGATGATCTTTGGCATCACACAAAGACTTTATACGAATGCCATTCAGTTTTAAGGTAAAATTACATACGATTTCCTATATATAAATGTACAAATAATATATTATATGTTATATGGTTTGCAGTTTTGGCGGGAAAGAATATGTGGGCCCGGATGATATTTTTACGAATCTGTCGAATATTCGGAGAAAATTGGCGGGAAATTGGGGTTCTCAAAAGCTGGTGCATGTTGTGGAGAAACTTCAGTGCCGTGGGCATGGTCAAAATGGAATTGCGTTTCGTGTGACGGGCTCGTTTATCGTTGGGAATCAATTCTTGATATGTGGGGAAGGTGTACAGGTGGAGGGCTTGCCTAATTTCAGAGATTTATCGATCGATATACCTAGCAAGCGTGTGGGCACATTTCGGGAGCAGTTTATTGTGGAAAAATCAGATGTGATTGGGCGGTATTTCATCGCCAAACAAGAGCTTTACATTGTTCAGTAAATAATTTAGAGTGAGAACTCAACTCTCTTTGTTGTATCAATAGTTGGAGTTGAGAGTAACTAATTATATATATATTTTTTTTTTCATTTTTAAATGTAAATGTATATAACCAAGCCAAGAATCTTATTTGAGAAAATTAGTGATAACTGTGCCATTCTATTTTGGCGAAATTCTGCATAAACTGAACGTAAATCAACTACTATGTTGCGCAGTTATTGTATTTCGACTATCAGAGTAATATTGCTTAACTAAAGTATTGAATCGAATATTCGACCTCGAAAACAATAAATCAACTATAAGGAAACATAATTGTTTTATTATTAGACTATCTAGATCCTATAGTTTATTTACGTAAACTGTCGCATAACAATATAATTTTTTTGTTGAATTAATTAAGTCTGATTGATCTTCTTTTGATTACCAACCAAATCAAGCACGAACGATCTTTAATCAGGCAGAACGTGGATCGAGCCCGATTAGAGTTCGTATCTTATCAGACAAATATAAACATTGAAGTTTGGTTCAGAAATTAGCTTCACTACAAAAGACTTTATACAACAACCATCTTCGAACAAAAGCGAAAACAACAAATCAAAGATAAATCTTTTTCTGATGTAAGAAAAGTATACACCAAGAAAATACTCGTTTTCTAAGGATAAATTTTTTGAGGTTTTCTAAATCCTGCAATATGCTCTATAGATACAGCGAAGATCGATCACAAAAAGTCGATCAAGCATCATCAATCAGTAAGTTTCATGTTATAATAACGCTCCAAATGTTTGGCCGTTCCATCATCGAGAACACTATCCAACAGCTCGTACTTCCTATAGTGCCCTTTCAATGTTTCACTCTGTTGGTTTGCAAGCTTTTCTTCTTCGCCTCGTTGATGCTATTACATCAAGACAATTAAAAAAACACAATATTATATTTTACAGCAAAATTTCTAACACAAAAACATTAAAAAACAAAATTGAAAGTAGCATTAATTACACTTATAATAAAGTCTTTCCAACACTCTCTCTTCTCCTTATTGATTAAAATTCAGTTTACTAAATCTTTTATATGGAAAAGGGTATTTTAGTCTAACAATATATATTTTCCTAAAATCAATCCACATACAGTGACCATAGGGGCAAGGGGGGCCATGGCCCCCCAACATTTCTCAAATCATTAGCATTTTATATAGAGATTTATTATTTTTCGTGGGTGGTAACAATACCGGCCCCCCTAGAAGATTTTTAGTGCATATTTGGCCCCCACGGACATAAAATTTTGGCACCGCCACAACCACATGCAGTAGAACCTCGATAAATTAATAACCTCGATTAAATAATAGTTTCTCTCGGTCCCGACTCGTTGAAAACGTGTTAAATTAATAACTCGATAAGTTAATAAATCACTAAATTAATAGAATTTCCCTAGTCCCGACTGTATTAATTTATAGAGGTTTAACTGTATATGGAGATATGGAGATTCTTAATATTTGTGCAACGGTGAAAAAACGATACCTAATGTGGAATAGAGGGAGTAGCCAATAGTTTTTAAACAGAATGTACCTCAAGCACTAGGGATGCTTCTGCAGCATGTTTCCTAACAAGGTTCTTGATTTTCTTGGCCACCTCAAAATCGGGTTCCGTGGGGTCCACCCAACGACACACTATCTTACGTCCCGGTTTTCTCGGACGATCATCGAACATCTCGACTTTAGCAGGCTGGGCACGGACGGGCCTCGGCATACCCAATATCATGAGACAATAATTTTCCATCTGACCGATAATTTCTCGGGCCTGCTTAGGGTTCTCCATTATCACTAGAGCCGATTGCGGCATGTTCTTCGATTCGAAATAGTTGGGGATAAATTGAACGCTGCTCACATTGCCAAACTGGTTGAAAGCGGCTTTCAATACAGATTCGGTAACTTGGGGAGACAAATTGTCTACGTATATCGTCCTCTTCACCTTCTCCAAGAACGCGTCGTACTCTTCCTCGGGTGAGTTGCCCATGATTGATTAAAGAAAAAACTAAAATTACAAAACAAGATGAATAAGTGGACAAAGATTTTGCAATAAAATGAACAAGCGAAATAAATTACAGTTCTAAAAACATAACCCAGCTGCTACAGCTGAAATTAACCGGGTAATTCTCCACCGTTGATTTACACACAATAACAATAAGATGTGAAGATTGATTCTTGATTTAAAAAAAACTAAGAACTCAATCATCCTCTTCAATTCATTAACATCAATGGAGAATTTCAAGAAACACGACAGGATTAATTGCGCATACTTGAACGACGTGTGTAATTTTTTAAACCTAATTTTTTCACAATCAACAGAGAAATTTCGAATCATAACACAAATTTTGCTAAAAAGAACTGGATTTCTATAAAAGTGCATGTGGATAAATAAAGAGGGGTACCTGGATTGAGCAATTTAATTTGTTCGATCAAGGGCAGCTACTTAGAATAGGGGATTTAGGGTTTCAAATAGAACAGTGGAAGGACCCAATTTTTAATCAGAGCTGATGAACCGGAAATAAGAACCGGTCGTTTTGCCAGCATAACACTCCGCCTCTTGCTTACTTTCTTTTATTATTATATTTTGCTTAAACAAACAGTAAAACTTCAAACTTTTTTAAAAAGTCTATTATTTTCGTGAAATTCTTGATTAAACTGAACGTAAATCGACTATATTGTTTGTGTAGTTAATATATTAACCGACTAATAATACTATAAAAATGCACTAAATCAACAATTTCATAGTGAACTACAAAATAGATAAAATTAGTGAAAACACCTCGTTTTGAAATTGCACTGAGACATGTCTAAGCTCTGGAAATAATTAATGATAACCTTCTCCTTATGTTTTTCGCGGAATTCTGAATAGAACTGGACGTAAATGGATTACACTCTTCGCGTAGTTGATTTATTAATTGACTATCAAGATGCTATAGTTAACTAAATATTAGACTGCAGAGACAATAAATCGACTATAAAAAAACATAGTTGATCTATTATTAAACTATCTGAATCATGTGGTCGATTCGTAAACTTTTACATAACAATACTAACATCGACGGAAGGAAAATGGTGGTGATACCGGAGAAGACGACTTCAGCGGAGGCACGTGGGACGGAGCAACCATGATTTTGTGTTTGATAATCGGTTCCATGGTGAAGGAAAGTGTAGCATTAGAACAACTCAAAGATTTGAGTATGACTTTTCTCGGACAATCTATGGTAATATTATCGACAAGCACAATTATTACAGCTATTAACGGAGAGGAAGATTCTCGGACAATCTATGGTAATATTATAGACGATATTAAGAGATTGGCGCTAGGTTCCGATGCTTTCAAAGTTTGTCATGTCATGAGGGAAAGCAATCGAGCAGCTCACGAAATTGCTAGATTATCTTCAATAGAGTCCTTTACTTCGAACGTTTTGCCGAGCTTTATTCTAGATATTGTAATGTCTGAATCATTACATCAATAAAATCTGCTAGTTTTTTTCTAAAAAAAAAAAAAAAATGTCTCAAATACAATACATAAAGAACATGGGTGAAAGAAGAACCTTAAGCAACAATCTCTAGAATAATAGAAGCAACAGTTATAAGACTAAAGCTTATTATTAGAACTAAGAAAACTCCCAAGTCAAATCATTTAGTTTCAATATTCAAATATTTGGTAGGACTCGCAAACTTTCAAAGTATTTATTTGATTCGTAGAGTTTCTACAAAGAAATGATACAGAAATTTGAGTGATAAGCAGTTAACATTAGGGTCGATTAAATAATCTAATGATAACACAATTATTTTATCGAATCCCAGACGTTCAACAAAAAAGTTTCATAAAAGGCAAGATAAGATATAATAATACGATATTTTCGGGTCAACCCTGTAACATATTGGGATACCAATTACCAACATAAAAACTAGTCTAATTATTTAGTTAATCATGACAGCTTTCCCCAACCAAACGAGGCCTAAAGATATTATTTGTATAATATGATTTTGTTTTATATAGATGAAAGTTGGTATAGTGTTTCTATAAACGGTTGGTTTTTTAAACAAAACAAGATTTGAAGTAGTTTGAAAAGTAAATTGATAAATTCAACTCATCAGTTATCATTAATAACCAGGGGAGGTCAATAAGTAATTTCTTCTAAAATATAATCCTAAAATATTAATATATGTACACAAAATTACATTTCAAAAATCAATATATATTTTTATTATTTTTTTAATTGGCCTTGTACACATGCACCCAAACAAATATCGAACCTCCAACTTCTCTCTTCACATTGAGACAAACCCCATTCCACTCTACAGCACAAAATTTTGCCTCCCGAAAAAAAAAAAAAGGAAAAAGAAAAAAGGATTTCGATACGAACTTCAAAACTGAGAAGGTACAGGCTATCACAACCATGCTCCCCATCCAGGAAACATATGGCACAATCGATCTGGATCAATCGCATCTTGTATAAGTTGTTGTACCTAAAAAATATCATGTCGATGAGTTATTTACGTAATTTTACATGGGAGTGGGGGAAAAATAAATAACAATGAAACAAATTTTACAAAATTTTGCATTGAAAGCACAATTAACTCCTCAACTTGACCTTGTAGATACATAAAAATATCCAAAAAATCAGCAAAAGAAATTTCCGGAGTATTTGAATCGAACCCAAGTCCATTCTCTACCCCTATCGAATGCAATATCACAACCAGTATCTAATATGAAATGATCTTCGAGAGATAAACTTGGTTTATGCAACTAGAATGCAGTATAATGTGTCATCTATCCTTTCTACAGACCAAGAGAAAATGTTGTTTTATGTAAATCAATAAACAAACCACTTCTGTATGAAATTGGTATCATCCGACTTTTAGCTAAACAATCTATGTCCAACAAGTAGAAATAAAAAAGTAAAATATTAGATTTACATCGATAGATATCACCAAAACAATGACTATTAGGAGTTGGGATTACTAGCACACTAAATTTTATTTTATGGTGGGTGATTGCAAATTATTGTGATACACTGAAAAGGACAGGTTGAATCATTTCTATGATTTTATGGATATTCAACGAGGAATTGTTATTTGAACACCAAAAATAATAAGATTTTGGTTTTCATGATAACAAAAGTTGGACTTAAAACTGTACTCGTCAACTTCGACGGCCAAAGAAAGCATGAGAACAATTCTTGCAACATGACTAGTCAATAGTCATTACTCAGGCATCGTCTCCATAGGTCACTCCTTGCAACATCATTACTCAAAGTATTTTGTTTGAAAATTTGAGATGGTATCTTTAAAAACACCACTCACATCACGCGTTACTCAAGACTTCAAAATATAAAATTTATGAGATGCAAATAATGCTCGTGTCCGGCATAATGCTGAAATTTAGTTAATGACATACCTGTCCATTAACACTTCTCATTTCACCATCTTCATATCCATCTAGCTTTTGTTTGACACGCAACAAGGCTCTTGCAGCATCTTTATTCCCTTCATACTCATCGTCATCCGAGTCTTCTAAGCTGGCATCTAAATCGTCATCAATGTCCTATTAAGGCCAAAAAAGAAAAAAAAAACTGTGAGAAACGTACATACAAGTTGAGCAGCCCCAATTCGAACATATATATCGACGAGAAATTAAGGAGTTACATATCAAGGAAAAAGATACGCGACTCTCAGAATTATAAATAACTAGGACATGCATGAGTTTCATTTATCGGGAGGTATATGTTAACTCCATGGAGAAAAATTCAAAAGGGCCTTACTCATCTGGCAGTAAGATTGGGGTTAAGTCAATGCAGATATCGACTATAAATTGCATGGAATGCACTCTTAGTGCACAATTTAAACATAGTGTCATAGTGATTACACAACTAATTCTGAAACTTGAGGAAAACTTAAACCCTAGCACAAACAACAAACACAACGACCAAAGAGTAATCCAGTAATTAACAACCACCGACAAGGCATGTGCTATTATATTTCAGACATAAGATTTGGTATGCTATCTAAATTTGCAAGACATGTAAAATTGATCTTGTAAAATCCTAAGATTTTACGAACAGCCCCTTCTGATTTAACTTCATATCCCGACTTTGACTATCATGATAGTGAAAGTAGAACTAATAACATACCTTTTGACGTTGCATAGCCTTTAGAGGCGATAGAGCCCACTTATATAAAGGATCATGGATAAAAACCTGCATAAAACATTTCCACATAATAAATAATAAATAAGATTTTCATTCTACTAAAATAGACATGATATCTATCCGGTGCTTTACCTCAATAATTGTAAGCAATGCTTCTTTATTTGTTCGCATTACAGAGAGAGTTTCCTCGCTACATCTTCTGAAAACTCCTTCCACCCCAGTTACACCCATACCATCTATGATGTCTCTCGTCAGCCTAAACGGTACCTGGTTGTCATTACTCAAGGTAAATTACTGAGGATTGAAAAGAACAATAAATTGGCAGAAATGGAAACATCAAAGATAAAACCAACTCGTTCAGGTGTTTTCAGCATCAGGCCTTGCTCAAAAGCGACTCCTAGATCAATATGAACAACTTCTGCAGTAGCTTGATCAATCAGGACATTCATCGAATGTCGGTCTCCTAATCCTACAATATAACCCACCTGCATACAATGCAATAGACATTTATTGCTATCAGATTTCAACTTATCCTGCTACTGTTAGTCAAGGGAAAATAGTTAGATTCTGAGTATTTGCTTCTGTAAGGAGAGAAACTACACATATTTTGGATTCATCAGCCAATAATATCTTCAAAATAATAGGACAATAAAACTATAGGACTAACCATTGAACTTGCCGCTACGCTTCTTGTATATGCAAGCCTCTTGTCGAACCAGTCAGCAGGATGGGAAAACCTCTCCAAGAAGAAGTAATGCATGACCGGCCTGCATTGCATGAAAATTAAGCCAAGTTAGTTTCGACATTTAACAATTAATTGGTTTCACAAACATATACCTGAAATTCTTGCAGACTTCTTGGAACGCCTTCCGCTTGTTGGTTTCCTGTAAAATATAGTAGACATTGATATTTAGATTGGTATTTTTTTAGCAAAGAACAAATATTGCTTATTTGCATCACAAATTTTTGAGCCAAAGGTTGAGGGAAACAATCAAGTTCACGTGTATATATATTTTCTTTAAATTTGTATATAAGATATAGTACTTAATAAAAACAAAGAGTTTACACAAACAAAAGATTCAAAATGGTAAATGCATACACATAGAAATAGGCAAAAACAAGTATTCTAAGGAACCACATGATACATACCGCAGACATGTGCTGCCGGCATTCCATAAATGTCCAATCTCCTGCTCCATAACGTCCATGAGCACCTCCGTTTCTGGAGCTGGATTAGGGACATAAACGTATTCAACGTTCAATCATTTGTCTCAAACTAAATATAGTCATCTTACCCATATGGTAATTCACTAACCTTCCAATAAGATATTCACCAAGTGGGAAAGTTCCATTCACCCATTCTAGAACACCAGCGCTGGGAGTAAAAGGAACAACCTGTCTCATCAAAGCAGTGAAATTAAAGTTTGTGTCACAGAGAGATGTTATCAGCATATTCGCATAAAATAATAAGAACATAGAGAAACCCAACCCAATGCAAGACACATGAAGTGGCAACCTTAGATATAAAGTGTTTAAACTCGTCACTCGTCAGTACTCAGTAGTACTCTCAACGAAACCCCAACAAAAGACACGACAAAATGCAGGATTAATTTTGAAGATTAAAAAGATACGCTATTTCTTCAAATTGTAAGAGAAAAATAAATCGTTATCGCAAGGGGACATTTCACAAAACTAAGCAATACAATTTATTTGTTTTACGAGGGGAACCTACCTTGTATGTCCGTATCCTGAGCCTCCTCCTCCATGTATCACGGTTGTTCTGCAAGAATGTGTTAACTAAACCGAAAAACTGTTCCATCACCTGCATGATATTTATTAAAATTTTGCACAGAAAAAAAACCCCATTAGTTCTTGATCTGACAACCATTTGAAGAAATGTACAATGAAAATATGACAAATACTTGACTGTGGAGAATTTATTCAATAAACTTCTAATTACACATTGTAAAACCAGCAGATTTTTTTTGGAACACACACACCACCAGACAAACACCCAAACTCCTAGGATTGAGCCCAGGACCTACCACCACAAGGATGAGAGAGGCAACACTCGGCCACGAGGGCCATTGCTATACACAGTAGAAATTGAAGCAAACTCTACAAGCTGTTGACAGAAGCCAAAGTTCAAGGGTATACTAAACATGACAGCAGAATTCGAAGATCTACGGTATGTACCAACCATTTTTTTCTAAATTAACCATAGAGAAAATAGAACACCTCCAAGTGGATCAATTTACATTTTTCACTTTTTGTCAGAAGTTAGGATACGTGATTTGGTCTACAACGTGGGAGATTAGCAACTTCTGGAGAAAGGTTCTAATCAGAATCAAAGTTCACCAAAAGCTTAACTTCTGAGATTTACGTGAACTCTACTTTTGGTACAATAACTAATAGCACTGAACTCAGTTAGTCCATATTTTGTTCAATATCATCATTTTGAAGGCTAAATAAAATTCAAAAGAAGAGCAAGTAAACTGAATTCATACAGCATCTTGTCTCAGATCATCATTGCCAGATTTTGCAAGCTGTCGGTATTTATTACCATCAGAACCTAAGCACTCCACCACTTTTGGGGCATTTATGCCATTCATTATACTGCATATTTTGGATACAGAAACACAACATCAGCAAGAAATTAGATAGTACACAATGAGAAGGTCACGCAGAAAGAGGAGTCTAGGATCTCATGAATGAAATAAAAAAGCTACAGATGTTGTATACATCCAGTAGTTAATATCATCAGAACAAGTATAAGTCTAGTAATTGACAAATATCACTCGTAGTAATATTGTGCAAATGATTCCCTTGTACTTTAAAACGTCATAGAAATATTGTCGTCAACATATTTTTCACTCAAATCCACGATATCAAGACAGAATGTAAGTACTTACGTGACTGAATCAGCCAGCCCTCTGAAGTGTGGAAAAGATCCTTGAGGATATTGACATGTCCGATCAACAGGGAAATTAGATGTTACAACAGGAACCTGAAATGGCATAACCATGCATCTAGAAATATTAGTTACTGAGACACACCTCAGGTCTTCTCATCGATGCGACCCATCAAACCAGTGAAATATCCTAGTGAGTGGTATCAACAATAAAATACTGTCTAGTACATCACTGTCTATAAGCAACGAAAACAAAAGAAAAGACAGTCTTACAAGCTCAAGTTCTCGAACGCTGCGAATTTCTCTTGGTAGAGCCACCCTTTTGTTGGTATCCTGTTTAAATTTTTTGTTATTAGTTCAAACATCAACACATAATCATATTATTCAAGATGTCTCTCGTAGCAGGAATAAATGCAAACAGAAGATGTTAAGGTCAGAAGTAACCAAAAGGGTATAAGAAGAACAAGACCGAATGACCACTTAATTACCTCTCTCTTCGTTTCCATTTCTGCAAGTTTAATGTATATCTCCACCATCTGCTTCATCTATGTAGTAAAAAAGAATAAAAAATGATAGAAATAGAGCCTATGCATACACAAGAAATGAAACGCCAGAACAAATGAGGCTCTACTTGTCTGATGATAGGTCCATGGTGAGATGATAGCTCTCTCAAGAGATCTTCCGCAGCAATCTTCTTATCCACGTCCACCACAAATGAGTTTCTACTGCGCTGTTTATCTTTGATCCGGTCACCATTTGCCAGAGCTAGCAGCTATAACCAGCAGAAGAAAAAGGAAACAAAGGAAAAGGATTATTTTTTAGCATTGACAAAACTACAACATAGCACTAACAACTTCAATTAGGACTTCTGAAAGCACCATATAATTAGTAACTCAACCACATGGCATGCACATGAAATAGAAAGAACTTTAGACAAAAAAGAAAGAGAGGTCTAACGATTGACAAAGCAAATACCATGAATTTGCAACTTCGGATGATCTTTCTAAAGAAAGTACAAATATAATACCTGAAATATTGTATGATAAGGATGGTCAAGGGCCATCTTCTTCAGAAGAGAAAGCAAGGCAAACTGCAAGAGCTAACAAACTAATGATGCAAACAGTAGGAGAAAATTAAAGTTATGTTAACAAAAGAAGAAAAACACAGCATAACAAACTACCTGAAAGCTAGTGGGTCCAAAAGAGTCTTTTGCTCCACCCAGCCGTGACGCGATTTGGTATACCAATATTATAAACTTGTAAGATTGCACCTAGATGGAAGAATACAACTGATGCATGACTCACACCAAATTTAATGTGCACGTAGCATCTTCCTATTGCCCCAATAATTGGACGGGAAAATTTCAACCTAATAACTACAGATTTTTATGACAGTTAACAATATACTTTACCTCGCTGATAGTGCTAAGCATGCTATCCACGACAATCTGTCTAGTTGAGAGACTGAACCATAGGGAAACAAGTCGAAATACCTAAAAGTACACAAGCATGTATTACATTCTAGTAGTATTAAGACAGTAAAACAAATAAATAAATGAAACAATGCCATCAACAGCAACATAGCCTAGTACATGTGCTAAGAAAAGAACTCCTTGAATCCTGATTTTTTCCATAAACATAGAGCGCAAGGCCGATAATGTTACAAAATTGTCGAGGTTAAAAAGGGATGAAATGAGCCAAGCGTGTTCAGATAGGAAGTTTCTAGATGCAGGGTATGGCCACTATCAAAGGGACAGTACAGAATACAAGACTATACACCACTTTAGCTTTTCCAGTAGAACCATTAAACATGCACATATGAATCGTCTAAGTTGTTGAACAACACATGTACCACGTGAAACCAATGCAATTCCCAAAATGATGAAATATTATTTCCCAAATGAAGAAATATTATTTCCCAATCGAAGAGTTGGAGATAAGCATTAATCATTACCACATATTTATACTGACATATTTTAAATATATGAGATAGTGATCCTTCAGTACTTAGCAGTAATCATTACCACATATATATTTATCTTAGTTTTTCCAACTTTCAACTGATGCCCCTGATGACTGATCTATACTGACATATTTCAAATATAGAGGGAGTAATATATTTCAAGTTATGAGAAATGAGCACAAATTCTTAGATATTAATCAGTGAATACGCTCTTTTGTCTACTGTCCTGCATCAGATATTATAAATGAATTGTCAGTACATACCACTCGGACATCATATTTTTCACCAACAATCAAGCATCGTTTGTAGCCCTCTAGTGCTGTACACAGAAAATTGTCCCTGTCTTCCTGAGAAGCAAAGGTAAAACCCAAATAATAAGATAGAATTTTACCCCATAAAACACAGTGAGCTTCGGTTCCACATCAATCACATTGCAAAATCAGTTCATGGCTAAAAATTCTAGCAGAAACATCTTGCCAGAATAATAACAAGAACACCACCACCTGTAGTTAGCAATTAAAGTTACAATTGTTAACAATCAACAGATTTTACGTATGCATCAACTTGGTTGGCCTTCCTCCAGAAGCCCAGTTAGATAGGATTGAAATTTCTCGTCTTTTTGTAGATTTCTATTTTTAGCATGTCTCTGCTTTTAGCAGCTTACTTTTTTGGTTGATCTCTATTTTTGGAGGCAGCCCATTCTTGGTTTATTCCTTTTCTAGTTTGCAGCCCGTGTGTGGCAGCTTTCTGTTTTGGTTAGCTACTACTCTGACCACCCGTTTGATCCTTTTAAAACTTATATGACTTTATTTCAGAGTTATAGACAGACTGAGGGTCATGACTAACCCCCACCCATGGATGTTTCTCGAAAAAAAAAAATAGAAGGTTGGTCACTGATACGAACACTCGATTTGCACAAAGTCACTTCTATTATAATTGTAACTTTACTACCTCAAACTGTAGGAATTCAAGAAGGTACCGCCAACTTATTACAACTTGATATAACCATAAGACTTTTCAGGAATTTCAAATGTCAATCACATACAAGAATGTGATACGAATCAGCTCATGTTAGTCACACCAAAATTCCAATATCCTCTTAGTGCATACCTGTAATTTCTCTTCTTCTTCTCTGTCCATGGCAAGTTGCTTTTGCAGCTCTTGTATTTTCAATGAATAATCAGTTTTATCTCCCTGGAATTCACATAGAAAACCATATAAGCTAATAATTTCCCTGGGGATTTCCACTCTGAAAGAACAACATTAATGGAACTTGCCTTGGCCATACTCTTAAAACGCTTAATTAATGCTTCAAGCTCCTTTTTCTGCAGTCAGAAATACATTACAAATTGCAATTACTATTGATAGGCCCTCACCATTTAAATTTTTTTGTCCCTTTCATATGTTTATCTATCGTAAATAACACATACCTTGTGCTTCCGTAATCGCATTGCTACTTGCCACTCATTGGAGCCAAGTCTTTCTTCATGACTACGAAAAAGAGCATCTGCATAATGTGCAAGATGGAAATGCATTTGGTTTCTTTTTTCTACAGACAACTTGTCTGTAGCCTTTTGACCCTCAGCAAGATTAACAGCATGCTTCAGGTACTTCTCTAATATAGTCCTTGAACTGCAGCATCATCACGGAGTAGAAGTTTGGCTTAGAAAATATGATCTAACAAGTTGCTTAATATCAATCATGCTCAGCTTTTTACACAAAATTGTAAATTGTTTGGTCCCCACAGCCAATCTGTTCAGAAGGTGTAAATGGAGTATTGATTTGACGATTCATTACTTACGCTGTATGACATCCAAGCAGCTATTCAAATTGCCAGTAATCCAGATTCCATGAAAGAACTAAGCATGTTTAATGTCTTTGAAGGTAGATTGACAAATATATAAATGGAAAATATCACATTTCAGGTTTCACTAATTCCAGCCGATTTTGTTGCATTATGTTCTAGCTTTTCACAAACAGTTGTTTTTTCATGTCTAGCAGATGACAAGGTTATTGAACACCCACATTAACTTGGAATAACCCAACGAACGATGCCACCGAATGTATAAAATTGAATATATTGCCATATTACTAACTTGCTCGACCGAGTTTCTGCCAGCCATTTTCCAACTAAGCGAAACACATCTGGAGCCTCTTCTTCCTTCAACTGGTGATTTTGTGAAATATAATTTGCAAGGTTGACTGCGATCTCGTGCTGACCTTGGACCCGGAGAAGCTTAGCTTCTTCAAGCTTCCGAAAAGAAAGATCCTCAAATATTAGTTTCTAACTAAAGATGTCAACTTAGAATTGGAGAGAGGCACATATACTGAACTAAATGGTACATCTTGAACATAATTGTCTATTATATGGAACACAACACCTCATAAGACAATGGCAGAGATCCATTGCCCTTCGAGATGATTACCTGTGGCCCACATCCATACTTGACTTCAAGCTTAGTTTGTGAAAGAAAATTCTTGGATTTATGCAGACTAAATGATTGCAGACATAATCACGTCAATGGAAGCATGTAACATTACAAGTTTAGAAAAGTTTTGATAATACGAGGAATTTAGTTGTTCATTCAAGGCATATGTGACTATTTCCGATAGCAAAAATGATGAAATTTTATGCATGCTACATGGGTCTGGTTTTGGTGCAGTTTTACTTAGGCAAAAGGAAATTTGTATATATCAAGGTCCAGGATGTGCCTTAAAGAACCAATACAGTTTTGCATGTAGGCAGAAAGCACAAAAACCTAGATGCATTTGTTTTCTGAGAATCATCAAACACAAAAGAGAAAAGACATACCCTTCCAAGCCAGTACAAATTAGAAAATTCTCCTCCCTTGTCAGTGCAAAGAAACTTAAATTCATGCAAGGCAGCAGCAGCCTCTGAAATCCTAGAGCCCTGTGGATGAACAACCAAACAACTAGCTTAGTAGGCTCCGTCTGTTTAATTCTAGTATGAAAGACCAGCTCTCTAGAGAATACCTTACGAAGAATTGATGCTGATTCCCTTAGATGATGCACTATACTGTCCATACAATTTAATACACGAAGCAGGACTCTTCTAAATGCTATGAACGGTTCCAGCAAATTCATATGTAAATCTGTTTGTTTCAAAATGCAGCTCCAGTTTTTATGTAGCCATTGCAACTGTAGATTTCAATTCAGAGGTTAGTGGATCTTATATGGAAAATAACTAATTCAACATCCAATCCTGATATCTAACTTGAAACAAGACATACCCATCGAAACTATGGCATCAAAGGACATATGGCTGAAGAAAGAAAGTTATAATTATAAAGCACTAAATATATTTCATCTATAGCGAATGAAATAAATTTCTATTAGAAAAATCCCAGAACCAGCATATCCTAATATTAGTGGAATATAATACCAAACAGAAGGTAATACAGTGGGAGACAGTTCTATACCTGGTCCATTGATGGCACTACTGGTTCGGATAAAACTTTTTGTCGCTCAGAAGAATCAAACTTTTCACATGTTGAACTCCACCGTAAATCCCATGCCATTCCGAGATGATGAAAGATCTGCAAATTATAATGGAAGCAGAAAAGTAGTTAGACGGTTTGAAATATCAAACCCTCGAGCATTAAATAGGCTTTATGGGTACTTTGTATCTGAAACTGAAAGGGATCATTTTAGTCCATGAAAGAAGCCTATGCAAGATTTCCACCTCCCGAGAAAAACAATTACGGGTACACTTAAGATCCAGGGATAAACATACGAAAACTGGCTGCTGGAAGCATTGCATACCTGAAGTTTAACTATGGTTGAGTAGATGCACTCAGTACTCTCCTTACTTGAATGGCAGATGGACATTAGAAGGGCCTAAGAGAGATGATTTTTTTACATTCCAAAAGTTGAGGCATTAGTTATGTAAGATATTTCTAAAAGTGAGGCATTAGTTATGTAAGATATTTCTACCTACTAACCTGCTTTGAGTCTTTCAGTGTTGTATGAAATTCATCAAACTCTCCTTCTTGTAGTGCTCTCAAACAGCTGTACCAGAGCATGAAGAACGTCAGCATCAAAATGATGGCAGGATTTCAACTCATGCAACATATTAAATAACTGTGCTGATCTGATGGGTGTGCTTCCAAAAGTTGGCACAGTTACAAAAAATCAATACTACTATAACATATCAAGAGCGAGTATCAATCAGAAAAGATTGATCAACCCAAAGAACTTCAACTTTGAACTGAAATACATGAATTACAGAAATGGTTGGATAAACATAAAAGAGAAAGAAAGCGATGAATGTAAATTCGGATGAATTACAGTGTAACCATTTAAGCTGACCATGTAACAGCAATGTGTCCGTCACTATCAAACTTTCATGATAGAGAAGTCATAGAAATTGATTTTTGGATGTCTGAAGTGGATAGCATATAATGATGATTAGGGAGGACCTTTGAAGTAATCTTAAAAAACGCAACCATCTTTCTTACTTCCTGGTTCTTACATTGTCAAAGGTGAAGCAAATCAATCAAATAAACTTGTTGCATCTGTGTTTACAGGAAAGGACAAAAAAGAGTAATATCTCAAACCACCTAATATCTTGATAAACATGAATGTGAAGAGATCATGTCTTCCAAAGCAGTGTATCATAATGAGCAAACTGAAGGTTCAGATAATTCCAGAATAAATAAGGCTTGAATCTATCAAAACCTCAATAAAATTTAAAATCCAAATAAAATACCTGTGCAAATTTTCATTGAAATTATGTCCATCACATTTATATGAAACTTGTGCATCAGCACCATAATAAAGTGGACAAAAATCCCAGTTTCCCGCACGCCAAGCAGCTTCATACTACATAGGATACGGAAGGACAGGGCAAGTCATTCGCTAAGACATAATCAGCAGGCCGTAAAACACATAACGGAGAGAGAGGGAGAAGAAAACACTTTGCATCATTTTAACGCAAAAACTATGTCAAACCTGCAGATCAGTAAATTCTAGATCATGTTGAAAACGACCCTTCTGAGAAGACAATCCTTGACAATACACATCCAATACATGAGTGCAGCCAATTTGCTGTAGAGATCTAATTAGTCCTTTGTAAGGCTTCTTTTGTATCATGCCGTGTTCTGTTTTAGAGAAGGATGTGTCTTCAGCTTGTTGAGAATTCTTCGTAGAAGAATAGGAAGAACCACTTATTTGAACAATTGGCTCAGAGCGTACTTGCAAATCATAGTATTCAAGTGCTTTACTCCAATTACCCTCATGCTCAAAAGTAATTATTTGAGAGGTCAGCTGCAAATCAAGAGAGGATCAAATGATGCCATGATGTTTGTACACAACTTTGACAATATATTTGCTGAATGACATATAAGTGACGTGCATTTCCTGTGGTGATAAGATTATACGGGCATACTACCATTAGACTCAGCGAACCTACAATCCACAAACATTTGTACAGTTTCATAGAGAGACTAAAGGAACTTTCATAATGGCATGGGATACTGAACTTTATTTATTTCTTATAAACATTCGAAGTCTTTATGGTGAAGTTATGTTAGCCAAGATCAAAAACAAAGTTGACCCACATTGATGACAAAATGTTGAAACGGGAATATTGAAAGGTCACCTTAAACTTAATTAATATAAATCTATAATTTTTTGTTGAACTTTGAAATATAAAAAAGAAATAAAAGAGATAGAAGAATGTGGAGATATGATGTGTTCAGCAATTTGACTACACCCATGGATAAAAAAAAATGTGCTGAAGGGTTAAAACACTTATTTTCTTCAGTCTTACCATCAGACTTATATTATCACCAAAATACATAGGTAGAAACATCTGTGAAAACTATATGAAACGTAGAACAGGGTAGGAAAAAAAAAACCCAAAAACATATCAAGTTTGATAAAATTAAATATTTTGTCATCCCAAGAATCCTGCATTATTCATAATCCGATTTATACTTGGTTGATATTGATTCTAAGCACTTGTTTCATAAGAACATAGAAAAGAGTATGTTAAATAAACAGCAAACATTAAGAGGAACCACCTTCACCAGAATAACGCAAACAAAGACAATTTGGTTAATGATTTTCATAAATTATCTTTCTCCATGGAACATTTTGATTCTGAATTAACTCAGAAAACGTCATTAACTATCATTACTTCACACACACACACACACACACACACACACACACACACACATATATATATATATATATATATATATATATATATATATATATATATATATATATATCTTTAACTAACCTTGTGAGACTGAATAATCCCATATAGACTGTCAGGCTCATTCATCTGGGTGACTGCTGACACAAGTATCTCAACATGGGGCGGCAACTAACAGTCAGAGAGAAAAGTAAGCCAGTTTTCCTCTTAACTGATATATTACGTATTGAGGAACAAGAAAACTCATAACGGATAGTCAAATTCAAAGAAACATACTGTTTCATGATGAGAAAAATCTGGGCTGCCCAATGTGAGGCTATTGAAGTGCTGCTCACACCAGTGCTCGACATAAAGAAAAGCAGTAAAGTAGGAGCCACAATCCTGCAAACCAATATATAAAACAAAAGCAGAACACAGGGATTAAGAAACAGAGACCTCAGATACTGGAAGACATAAAGAAGAACCTGACGCTTTACTCACAATAGCAGACTTTGCAACAACTAGATAATCCACGCCAAGCCAATAAACCTGGTGAAAGATAAAAATTTACTAGGAAATATAGTTGGCAAGCCATTTGAAAGAGAGGGATCAAAGATAAGTAACCACTGAATCTGGTGTGCACAAGAATCAAAATTCATAATGTATGAATAATGAAATAAAAAAATATTTTTTAAAAGGAATTCACCTGGACTTTAAACAATTTTTCAGATCGATGGGCTAAGCCACCAAATATTAAATGTTCACACAGAAGGAAATTTTGTTAAAGACTGAACAGATTTCACAGCTATTGTATCAGAAGCACACAAACCTTTTGCCACAGTAAAGTTGATGCTACCAATCCTGAAGGTGTGTCGAGATCCTTCCCCTTCACTGATGTAGAACGTGACTTCAACCCAGAGCCAGTAATTTTAGTATGCTGTGAAACCAAAAATCCGGTCAAACTAGCTGATACAATTCCTGTTTCCCTATACGTAAGGCACACTAGCTGATACAACTGTTAATATGAGATTACAAACTTCAATAGTACATCAATCACTTTTTCATGGTTGACGAGAAACAATAGCAAGTATTGACACATGATGTGAAAACAACTGGAAAGGAAGATATTGGAACAGAATGCTAATTTAACAAGCAAATTTAGGCTGCTTTTTAAAGGTGGAAACGCTCTAAGAGCTGTCATAAGTAATAACAGAACTATGACACATTTTATCAAGAAGCGGTTTCTGTACTGATTTCCATACCAATAAATAGTTCAGGAGAAGTGGACTAATTTTAAATCAAGAAAACCAAAGAGAGTTTCAAAAACATTTTCTTTTTCAAGGCATCTATGTCAGATGCCAGATGTGCCAAGGCTGCATTGTATTATTTCTATCAAAGCTGCTACAAGTTTATTTAAGACAAATTAAGAACACATCATTAAGGTCAAGGATGCATCGGGTGTGTTTTACTTTATCACATAAACAATTCCAAGAAATTATCATGTACTGCATAAAAAGAGTGATTGCGGAAACACCTCTACCTTTGAACTCTTCTGCTTATGAAATGAAGTTGAAGACTTGGTTCTTTCCATTACATGGCACAGGCGAAGCTCATTTAGAGCATGCAAAATTACCTGAATGCTTTTTGTTAACACATTGGACTCGACAAGAACATTTTCTTGTACCTGTAAGTAATGAAAGAAAAGACAAAACATGTAATTAGAACTTTGTAAGATATATGGTATCAGCAACATGTAATTTTGAACTACTGGTCAAAATTAAGAACTGACCAAAAATATGTATATGTATAGTAGATGACACTATCCAACTACATGTAAAAATAATTATATGTTATGCAGATGATTTTATACACTATTCTTAGAATTGTCTACTTAATAGTTAGACAACACGGGAAGCCAATATCTGTAAGAAATCCAGTATTTGTATGGTGGCAGAGCTGTTACAGTGCTAGGGATAACAAGGAACATGCCTTGAGCGAGATTACATTACACAGATCAACATTTGAATCCTTTCTTCCAGCTATATTAAGAATGACATCAGAGAATAGAAGTTCAGCAACTTCGGATTTTACTAGCACAATATCCTGGCATAATCTGAAATAAATATCAAAGGGATCAACTGAGAAGATTCCTTGGAAAAAAATAGGCAATCAAAGAATAAAATAATTTAACGGAATAACGGACAACCTAAGAATAAGGTCATCACAGTAACTTATCATGGCACACACAACTGGACCAATCCATGCCTCAAATGTTTTATCAGAAGTAGACCACAGAGTTGAGTCCTCAATGGAAATTGATTTTGCTGAAACAAAAAGTAACAAAAAAGTGTTAAGGCAATATGCATTAAAACTATAGTTCCTATGATCAAGTTCACACCTTTGGAAGAATTAATCTTTAACTACCAAAGAAGTGTGTTATCAAAAAATAATAAGGGAAAGCAAAACAAATGAAAATGCATTTTGTGTATAGACCCTATCAGCAAGGATGCTTATTTATTATCCCTACTTATGCCTAGCACTAGCAATGAGATGTGATTCATATAAGTAAACACAGCACAAAGGCGCATATATGACAAAATTACCATTAATCAATTTAACGAATAAGAAAACATAGAAACAACAAATAATAGCGTACCCTTGAATTTTCTTTGTAGATTTGCAATTAAACTTTGTACTAGCTCCAAATTAATGCCCTTCGAGTGGACCTACAAAGTTTGCAGATATAATTTGAATGACCGTAACAAAATTTAGTCATCACCATCATCTTCAGAGACAGATAAGGTAATCAATCAGGAATGACAAACCAATCTGAACTATATAAAAGTAAATGTTAAGGACTGCATTGTCTTCACTAGTTCCAATAGAACATGCCTAATCACATAGTTATTGAGTGCGAAAAACGTGCTCCGGTTTCAAGACCTCCTAGGGGTGAGTGCAAACCAAGTTTATGTTCTAACTTCATTCAGTCGAAAAAGATAACTAGTTTACTTATTATCACCTCTTGATCTATGTACATGGTGTAAAGATGACAATTTTAATGCTTCCTGGTTATATCCTACATTTTATGCACGTTATTTTAGATCCTTCTTCGGGTTAGCAAAATTCAGATATACTTGCGGTTAACAAATTTGAGATTTGCTCGGAAGAAAGAAAGAGGCAACATGCACTATTAAATGCAAGCTGTTACTACCACTAAGAGGCCGTCTTCAGTCCATGATTATAAACATATGATTCATCCCTATAGATCAACACAATATCACTTATAAAGTTCAATAAACCAAAGAAATGACACAGTTTAAAGCTCAAAACTTGATAAGGGTTTCTTTAGGAATGCTGACCCTAGGAAAGCTTGCAAAGATTGCAGGTAATTATTACCCAATAATAGATACAGAAATTATAATCTACAAATCTCCCTCAAAAATATAGTATCAAAATAATATACTCGATTCTCTCTTCCCAAAGACCATCTTAATCATGACCACAAGAAACCTAATAAATTTGTAGAACTCATACTGTCAAAGACATTTTGTCTTACATTATTTCATAAAATAATTTATAAGAAAACAACACAGAACTCATAAACACATAACAGAAGAAAGAACAGTAAATGTCTCAGAGAAGCAATTAAACCTCAATAAGACACCTCTCGTAGGAATCCAGGTGTAATAAAGATTGTTGTCCTTTTTCAGTTGAAAGAATCCCCTGTGAAGGTGAACACAATATATAAATGTTAAGAGTGTCTAACTTAGCTACTAGAAAGCGAGTACACAATGCTGTAATGAACATCAGCCTATTCAATCAAGAAATAGGGGAAAAGAAATATTTTTACATGATTTAGATTTCTTGAACATGTATTGTTTACTATTTCTTATTATCCCCACCAAGGTCTGGAAAATACCAAAACTCAGCACAAACTCGAATGGCCACGGAATCTCAGCTATATTTTACAATTTGATAATAAGCCCATCAGTCAAAGTTCCCTTTTACAAAATGATTTTAGAGAGCTTCGAAAACTGGATATAAGATCAAATCAGTAAACTTAAAGGTAGTATACTGTATACCATACTTCAACAGAATAATAAGGTCACATATCACACAAGTAATTAATTGCAACTTTTAGACGAACCCTTAGGATGCGTGATTGAAAATAAATTAAGACATCAAGACATGTATAATCCAACAGAAAGGTATTTCATCAAACAAACCCGTAAAGCTTGTGAGGCCATATCAATCATCTCAACAGAATCATCCATTAGATACTTCTTTAAATGCCTCAGAAGTACAAGAAGAACTTCATTGGATATGCATGTATCCATGTGGATATTAGGATCTGCTGAGCTAAACATCTTAACCATTCCAGATAATTGCACATGAGAGTCACCAGGAAGATGGAAGACAACGCGATGGGGATCACCAATACCGACCTGTAATTATAACAAAATATTAAGAGAAAATGTCCAACCCATTGCTGGTGTATGTCCAAGATACCTAAGTCGTATTGATATCACAAGGTAAAGATGAAGAAATACCCTAGATATAAAGTCAGCCACCATGGCACCGAGGTCATTTGTGTTATCTAAGCTGCACACTGGGACAAGATTCCAAAGAGCATGAACAATTTCATTGTCCGAGTGCCAATATGCGTCTTTGAGAAAATTCTCATCAAGCTCTTTTCCTAGACGCTCTCCCTTTCTGGACATATTCTTATGCAATGCTTTCAGACTGCAAAATAATAAACAGATAAAGTTTTCATTACCTTCAATATAACAAAGAGGTAGTTGAAATGAAGTTCGGCATATCATATTATTGTGTATCTACTACTATCTACAATCTATATCCCAAATAATTTTTGGTTTGTCTTCCAATCAATTTTGATTTGGCCATCTCTACTCTTGCAACTATCTCTTTTTGTTGTCTCAGATTTGGCTTGTTGCTATTTATGCTACGATATGTCTCTGCTCTACTTACCAGTCAAATTTGACTAGGCGCTTTGTACTTTCTACGGGCTAGTCACTCCGACTAGACTGCTACTTTTCTACTGTCCCCCAACAGACCATGACTGAGTACTATCTATCTCCCAACCGACGTCACTGTCTGGAAGTTGACACTGATTGCACATCTGCTAATTCTGCTACTATGTTATTAGGTGTTTACATAGTTGATTTTGAGTTTGGCGCTTTGTGTAAAGATCCTTCAGCTTGAGGGAAGTGATAGAAAATATTTTATTTTGATTTCTTTTTTTTTTTTAGTTATAGCGTATTTAGGTTACGAATCTATGTCTATTAGGTCATTGGTTCTATATTAGGGATCAAATTTTCACTATTGTCCTCATTGTAAAAGACACAGTTAGCTACATATGTGAAATGTCTTTTTTCTAGTAGAAAGTGTTGACGAAACAGATGCACAAAAGTTCATATGAAATGAGGAAGAGGTACGTACCTGCAAAGAAGTAATCTTGGCGGTACATAGTGAGATCTCTTCACAAACTGACAAGGACAGAATTAAAGGGCATGTAACGAATGGAAACATATAAGACAAAACTGGTGAGTCACCAAATCACAAGCCAAGGAATCAAGTAAAGAAATGAGGCAAGGAGCACTTGCTTACATTGAGTAAGTGAACCCTAGGTGAGTAGGTTTCACATAATCCCAGGTGGAACCTCCTTATGTCATCAAATATATCAAATTCAGGGAAGGGCTCCAGCTCCTGAAGTAGCACTCACAAATTATCACACACACTTTCAATCAAAATCATTTGAAAGTAAAGGTAAAACGAAGAAGTTATCTAGATCGCCCAAAAAAATTTCTACAAATAACACAGATACCACCGGGGATATACCAAGTCAGACCTTGATGTATTCGTACAGCGATGAATCAGAAGCGATGGTAAGCTGTTGGAGCAATGGTACCAGTTGCGATGAAGCAGTCGCAGAGAGATTGCCACCGGATTCAAAGGGAACAGAACATCCAACCAACTTAGACACTAGAAACTGAACAGTAAAGCAGTTGGGTTAGTGTGGAAAATGATATTTTACTGTAAAAAAAAAAATCAAATAAGCTCTTACCTGAAGTTGTTCACCCAGTACTCTTGTAGTCTCTACTGATGGATTATCTCTTGTTATCTTAAGCAATGTGGAGATAATGCAACAACATTGATCCATTAAATTATGGCAGCCAATAAATTGCCCAATCAAATTCAGAAGGTAACTGGGCAACAAAACAAGGAAGATGTTAGAGAAGCCAACTGGCAAAATCACATGGAGTGTAAAATTAGGACAAAGAGGGCTGAGGACCCCAGTAGAAAAGGTTCGAGGTTAGCTTCTTAATTATGCCCATGTCACTTTTATTTAAAAGGTTTAACAGCCCAAAAGGAATGGAAAAAACAACTGCATTAGATTTGTTATCATGGATTATAATAGAATAATTCACTGCCGAAAACCATGCTTCATTTGACTCATTCCAGTAAATTATAAAAGTTCCAAGGACCAAAGAGATCTATCATTTGTGCATACATGCCTAGAACTGGGGATACTTCCCAAAATCACCAGCCACAAGTAAGAAACAAAAATAACCATTAGGCAAGGTGTCAATCTAAATCATCAAGAAACTATCCATACAAAAAATATTCATTGTTATAGCAACAAAGATTTTTGTTGAAGCTGAATCTGATTCTAAGACTCCCAATCAACAAAGGGTAAAGAGGACCAGACCCAAAATAACGATAAAGCTCCATCATATCACAATCACCTAGTCAATAGTTGTAGAGATGTCAAATTAAAACTCACCTGAAAGTACTAGGAATAGCAGCTCTACAACCAAGAAGATTGACAACCACTTCAATGCCAGCCAAATGGCGACATTTATGCCGATGATGAGCTGCAGCAGTAACTTTGTAATGCATATCAACAATGAACTGCACAATCATGTGTCAAACATTTAGAAAATAAACAACAATCATTAACTTCTACACAAAATAATACTTGCAGTTTACAGAAGACATCCTAAAAGAGGAATCACCATAAATACTCTGTCAGGTCTAAATATGTTAATCTTGTCCACAAGGTTGCAACCTATAGACTGGTTTTCACTGCAAGATTCAAATAACAAACTTAGAAGTACTAACTTTGTAGGGAAATGAAGAAAATAATTAGAAAATCCGAAAGAAGGTCCTGCACCTATCCAAAAATCCATCCACAACAGTTTGAATTGCACAGGCAATTGTATCTTTAGAGAAGAATGGAAGTGGAGGGTCCGAGTCACTGGAAGCTAAAGACAATGTATGATTGACAATAGAAACCTGCAAACAACGGGTAAAAGTACGAAAATCCTAAGAAAGTCATTACAATTAGATACTATCATAAATTTTGATCAAAATATACAACAATAAACTCTCCTATTATATTCTCCATGTCAAATCTTAAAATTGGAGAGCTTTGCGGTAAATTGTCGATCTTACCATACGCTTCCTGATAAGCTCATCTCTTTCATGCTCAGACATTTCAGCAATCTGTAGAATAGAAGTTCCCAGCACCCTAGATCCCTGATCGTGTCCATCTTTCTTGGTGCAGTGTAACGCCATACAGACAGAAAAAATGTACACAAAGTGATGCTTAATCAAATCGGCACAGGGCTGGCAAGCAACCTGGAAAGACAGAGAGTGTCATAACACAAAGATAGCAATTAGAAGAAATAATCAATGCATAAAGGAATGTTGGAATAACTTTAAAATATTTAATATGTATACAATCAATGAAACCTACTCCCAATGCTAATTCCATTGACTCAGGAATCCAACATAAAATTCAAACAACATGCTCTTAGTTAGAGTCTATATTAGAATATTACGCAAAATATGGATAATTCACTTTTCTGGTTAGTCCTTACTTTCAGTATATTTAGTTTGAAGAAAGAATTCACACAGAATTTAGTTCTACATCTATGCTATTTTCAGCTGGAACACGAAAATGAAGATGAACGTTGACATTTGGGAAAATTGGTCAAGTAGGAAAAAATAAAAGAAGAAAAAGTAGGAAGGTTATAGATGAGCACAAAAGGTTTAAAAGCATATAAAAAATATTCCAGGAGTGGAATAGGATTCAGAGACTTCTACCTTAGCAACCCACTTTATGTTGGAAGTATCATCCTGCAAGATCAGTGCAGGCAGAAGCCACTGGCAACAATACTGGATGAAGTTTATGGGCTCCGCATTCAAGACATAAAGATCTCTTGTCTGTAAATTCAATTAATAGTCAAGTTGTTGGACGATTTAGACACCATATGCGCATGGAAGCTTTAACTAGGCAATGTATCACACATTACCTCAACAAGTGCGACTAAGCTTACACCAGAAGCAACCCAACAAAACAGAATTGGTCCCATAAGCTCTTCCATATACTGGAAAATATTTTAACCGACAAAAATTATATGAATATTCAATATCTAACAAAGTGTCTGCATAGTACATTATCTAATAGAGATCAACTTATCACCTTTGTCCTGTTTGTGTAGCGTAATTCCGTCGATATACTATCCAGCATGGCACAGATCAATTCCCTGAATAAGGATCAAGATTTCAGAGAACAAGGGAGTGTTTCTTATAAAATTTTAAATTTTTTCCTTCTTATTTTGTTAATTATTACCTTTGACAGGGCTCAATCGCAGCAACAACACAAATCATAAAAACAGCCTGCATAAGAGTTTTAGCATCCAAAGCGTAAATTTTGTAATTTTATTTCACAACAGATTAGAGCAACTGCATATATCTAAACTAAATCACAAGCTTAAAATCATCTCTAGAGAATTATATTAAGGAATAAGTCGGTTACTTAAAAATGAAGAGGCCAGTGCCACAAGGTTTAGCAATATCCAATATCATATTTCTCATAATACAGAACAACTCATATTAGCAAAAATTAACAAGAGTATTGAATGTATATCACAAACTCATATTCTCTCATGAAGTACTACTATTGTAGGAAGTACTTGCAATTCAAAAATTGGTAAGACAATAAAAAGTACATTTACAGTTAAATTAATTGAAATTCTAATTTCATTTTACTTTTTGATATTATATATAATCTTGAATAAATGTAAAATTAACTGATACATACAGATTACTGAGTCTTATCAAATATATAAAACTCTCAAACATTTCTTGAGTAATTAAACAAAAGGTTATACACTCAAGCGGAGCTAAGGCTTAAAGAAATTGAATTCAAATGGTATGCAAACCAGCTATTGAAGTTCGTAACCCAGCTCCAGTTATAAAGCTTCCTATTTCAGAAGGGATGGTCAGACCTGCAGACTCCAGATGAGTTATCTTCAACTAACCCCAACATTATTCATTTTCTACTTCAAATTTATATCTTATTAAGCAAGCAACTCGCAGTTCGTGGCCTTCTTTTCATACTAGGGTGTCGTCATAATTATTCAGTATTTCTGAAAGCAAATGACAAATATTTTTTTTCAACTAACCCCAACATTATTCATTGATTCGAGCAACAAAAGAAACTAAGTTTTGAGGTATTATTAACATGAGGCGACCAATACAGATCAAGCTGACCTTAGTTATCTTTGCAAAGACAAAAGTCCAATGCAACAAGAACTTATTTAAGCAACAGCAGCATTTAACTGCTGAAGCATAATTAAAACAAGTTGATTCATAGCAGCTCTTAGTTGACATGATTAAAATCTCACGATATTGCAAGCTGAAAATTCACCCATGCATAGTCACGAGTAAGCGAAGAATTTTTAGGTTGTGTATAGTTATCATATTAGCAATCAAATTGGTAGTAATGATTAATGTAGCCCTGGTCAATGCTATTTCTGGATCCAAATGATACATATGGTTGATGTTTTAAATTCAATAATTTAGGATAATATCTGTTACTTGATCCTTGTTCTTGGTTCTACAAAAGAATAAGCATATTAAACAACCAGTCATAAGCATATTTCAACTAAACTTACCATCAATATATGCAGGTATAAGTGTATGTAATTAGACGTCCATGACACTACATATTTGTGACCCCAATGTTTCAAGTATAACATGACATAAAAGAAAAGGCAAATATTGATGGGAAGTGGGAAATATAAGTACCTGCAACTCTATTTTCTCGCTGTGCCGAACAAGATGCATGAGAGTTACAATAGTAGTTTCCATTACTGGACTAGGCTGAGGACCAGCAGCTATTACTTCCTCTGCTCTAACAACCTTTTTCCTTGAGGAAACAACCAACTTCACGCTGAAATTTGAACTGAAACAAATAGATATCTTAATAATGTGACTTTAAGATGCGAAAAAGACAAAAAAAATGGAAGAAAGAGAAACAGATACAATTAACACAGGCTGGAAATTTTACAATGCCAGTGAATCAATTTATATATTAGTTAGACGGCGCTCCAGGATTAGTGATCTTCCTTCAAACACTATATTACATCCGTCATCCGTGCTTTCTTAAGCTTCATATAACCTTTTTGAGGTTCCAATTTTCCATGATACTACTACTTGCTGGCAGGTTAAATATATTTTTTGATTCACCCTTCAAAACAGATGAATGCTAAAATTTTGAATTATTAATGACGTGTCCAAGTATCTTAGTTTTAGAGGGAAAAATCTGATACCAAGATATTTACCCATATTCTACACTTGTACCGGACTCTTAGCAACATAGCATTAAAGTAAACTTAAATTCAGACTGCTTTGGAACAAATAATCCTAGTTCCTACTGATTATATTTTCCTTCACATTGAATAGAAGCGGAGAATTTTATTACTCTATCAGATTGCATTATCTATCATGTTCCTCTATGAGTATACATTAGGGTAGGAAAGTAGTGATCCCAAGAATATTTGCATCTCTCAATACTACTACTTTTCTCTTTCAATAATTTCAACTTTCTCTACTCTTATATTGAACATCATTAAACCTGCAACAAACTACTCTTATGTCCAACTGTTTAGTATCTTAAAGCAGTTGCTTTCAATCAAAGGAGCTAGTTGATACTTTATCTTTTTTAGGTTAGTAGTTCAGCAATGAAGTAATGAGCTAAAATTACATGCGAATTCATAACATGAAGTGGTGCTTCACAGAGAAGAGGGGGAAAATATCTCTTTTCCAACTCTTTTCTTATCTTACCCCCTCCCTTGTCTCACTTCAGGGTACAGTTGTAGATGCTTGAAAATCGTGTCAACAGCAAAGCAACTTATTACCGGTTCATCCAAATCATAAAGAAAATGTGGCTAGGCAAATGGAACATTGTTTAATAGGGAGGTCATCGCTGATTCAGTTGAATTTGTTTATATATATATATATATATATATATATATATATATATATATATATATATATATATATATATATATATATATATATATATAACCCTGCAAGCGAATACTTATCAAGCGGGAACTGATTCTGCTCTTTCAAGAGAGAATACTCTAGGAGTTGTATCTCCCACTGATAAAATGAGATAACTTTTAATTTAAGATGAGGTGGTGGTACAGCAAACGAGCATAACCTTTCTGGTTGATGTTAACATCACAGGAAAATCTTGAATGAAGATGAAAGACCACATAGGGTGAATCGACATGGAAAATTAGACATACTAAATAAGCACGCTGAAGTATTTTAATATGCTAAACTTGAAAAGGAGATGTCTATATGCAAACTAATTTGGTCGTGTAACTATTAAATTAGACTTGTGCAAACACCCCACAATTATAGGTATCGGAAACAAAAGAAGGTTAAAATCCTAAGACTAAAGAAAAAAGAACCGCAACATGGATGTCAAACCACCTACCATACATCTTGGAAGAGTTCAGAATGACCATCCCATGTCTGGAAAAGGACACCAATCCGACGTGCTAGGAATAACCTAACTCGATAATCAGGATCTTGGAGCAGCATAAACAACTTGTCAATCATCGACTGGTTAAAGGGACAGCAAAATGTAGCATGCAGCAATTAGAATTTTGGATCAGTGAGTAAAAATTAACAAACAAGGAAGAAAAAAAGTGAAAACTTAAATAAGAAGTGTTTGACGTTTTCATGAATATAAATCATTGATTACCTGCGCAATTTGAGGACTGAGTGATACAAAATTGCATATGCAGTCAACAAGTTTAGTACGATCGCGCCAATCCAAGCAACTATTATCAAATACTTTATTCACCAAATCTCCTAGAGAAACGAAGCACTGAAAACAGATTGAGAAACTTAGGTGAATGGTTTTATACCAAGAAACAAAAACAGAGCTACTGTAAAACCATATTTGCGTTTGTTTTGCATCTCAAACTCCTCTCAATTTTACTCTCCCAAGATAAACCAAAATGTTCCAACACTGCTAGACATGACTCGACTGCTACATTAAATTATGTGGCCTACTTTATTTAAAATTCATCTCTCAATATACCTTTTTTCTCTCACTACATTTTTCTTTCGTTTGTCTATGTATTTATCCTATTGTCTCTGTCTTTATCCTACTGATGGACAATTTGTTGTCCATCCCTCACGAACATTACATCGTTGTCCCTTCTACCCTTCCACCCCTAACGGGGATCTTTTCATTGTCATTTGCAAAGGTAAAATGCTCTTGAATCAGCGCATCCAACGACTGCTTATATTTCATATTATGTATAACGTCTTATCATGAGACACTTAAGAACTTTAAGCACCCTGCCTGGATAAAAGATATGGATGAGGAGATCAATGATGGAGGAAATCTTGTGACTTGGTGAAAGTAAGAAACAAACAATTGTTGCTAAATCTAATGCAAGCCAAGCTCAGGGAAATGGCACATAATGTTTGCAAGATATATGATTAAGGAATTTGTTACGCGAACTGAGGTTCACTTACAATAAATTACCTATGAACTAAGACAGGGAGTCGCTTACAATGAAAAACCAATGCAATAAAACAATAAAGCAACTATTCATATTGGCCTCAATCGAAATTTTCATGAAAGAATTGAGCATGTTGAAGTTGATTGTCCGTTTTTTTGTGAGCTGTGAGGTTGTCATTAACCAGCAAGCTGATACTCCATTTACGCTATATTTTGAAATGGAACAAATTGTTTACATTCTTACCAAGGCTTTTGGGACAAGAAAATGTATTGTTTTGTTACAAGTTGAGCATGATTCATATCTATGATCTACCACGAGAGGAGAGTTGGATAATATTTTGGAACTCTTATTACTGTGACTCTATTCCAATCTATATATAAGAGTGTGATCATTTAATAAACTAAATAATCTGGCATTTATATTCTAACAGTTACATCATACAACTTACCAAATAAAATACAATTATTGCTTACCCCTTCGGCTTTATATATAAACAATATTCATGTACTATCATTGTTGGTAAATCTAGAATTCCATAACTAAACTAAAACTACATCATACGTGTTTCGCTTTGCTGATTACAGTTCTAGGAAGCATAATAATAAATTGAGTTTCTTATGACAACAAAAGCGACACAGTCAACTAAACTACAACAGTTTCCCCCCTTGTAGGCATAGCAATACTTTGCCATCAAATCAATCACATCAGCAACAGGGATCCCACAGTCATATCGCACATTTCTTAATATTTAAAAAGTTCTGACATGCTTAAAGATGCAACCAAACTGATGTACCTCTTCCGACACTGTATCCCGTGAAGAATAAGCAACATTGACGTGCTTTCCAGATCCATGGAGGAGAAGAAGACTTCCAATCAAACTACAAATTCCACTCAATATATGTGAACTCTTAAGTTTAAGACTCTCCCACATGTTTATAACATCTGTCATAGACGTAACCTGCAGAAGAGGAGATTAACTAAAATCACCTGGCCTTCAAAAATATTTAACCCGCACAACAAACATGATTTATTTATAGAAATAAGCACGAAACCAAGAACAGCAGCATACCAAATCTGATAGCTCTCTGCAAGAAGACCAATGAGGATGCTGACAGAGAATCAATAGGAACTTCTCGGAAACCTGATCTACCATAAAAGTTAACTAGTTACATACATAAATGAGAGTCATAACACAACTTGGGAGAGAAAAGACTCTGTGATGATGTACCTTTGGATTATTCTCTTTCTCCTTAAGGTGAAACAGGACTTCCCAGGTAACAGATGGCAAAATTGAGAAAAAGCTTGACATGATTAATAGGAAATCCAGTTTTTTATTTACTAACGAATTGGAAACTCTAGAGATATGATCACCGTCAACATTTAAACCATCTACATCACTAGAACCAGTATCCACATCCAACTCCATGTCCAATATCAAGCTTTTGTTGCTATTTGGTGGAACAGGATCATGAACGGAAAAGATCTCTGAAAAGTCAGAACAGGTTGTTTTTGCATGAAGATTCTCTCTGCATCCTGAACATCCTTCATACAGTTTTGCCAGGCTTTTCAAAAGTCTCTCGACAGATTGAACTATTCTAGGATATAAACCAGAACCGGCATCATTTTTCTCGTTCCATTTGCTAAGGAGAGGTGAGCGAACAAAGCTTTTAAAAGAAGCCACCGTCAATTCTATGTTACTGAATATAGAGTTGAAGCCCATACAACTGGATATGATATCGTTGTAAGTTTTATCAATTGATGAAATGGCATGATCAAGCAATTCCAACATGGATTCGCCCAAGCTGAAAAAGAAAGGGGAGATCTCCTCTCTGATCCTGATTATGGTTGAATAAAAGAGCATGTGAATCACAATGCGACAAATGACAGAAACAAAGATGCATCAGATCACTTATGCGAAAAAAACTTCTACCCACAAACCAAAGGAAAAAGAAAAACCTGAAACTGCTCTTAAATTTAAAAAACAAAATGTGGATACGATGTGTATAATGATATTATGTAACATTTGACCTCACTATTTAACAGATCAGGTTGTACTTAAACTGTGTTAGCTGTGGGTCAAAAAAAAAGAGAAAATGAAATCAGAAACTTGATGATTTAAATAGCCCCATGTTCTAATCAAGTGAGTGAGAAAATAAAAATGCAAGAGCAAAATTTGAACAAATATCATGTTAACTAAAGTAACTGCGGATTAAGACACAGTTCAACAAGCTTTAACAAGAGATGGAGGAATCAAATCTGAACAAGTATTGCTGAAGAAGAAAAAGGAAAATAATGATCAGAAGGAATGACAGAATGACTGACCTTGTTGAGTATGTACAGTACATGAAATTAGATAAGAGAGTGCATATGTTCATGACTTCTGAGAGCAGCAACTTCTCAATTTCTTTATCCATTATACATTCCTGAACATAATTTTCCATCTCATGAAGCAGCTGATCTCTTTGTTCCCGTGGTAGACGAATACGGTGGTGGTACTCTGAAAGATTAACCTAAAATTACCAATTTCATTTATTAGTGAGAATCACCAGAATGCCAAAACTAAAGGATTAAACTCAAAAGAAGAAGGAAAGGGAAAAGGGGAAAAAAAAAAAGAACCTTTTGACCTAGATCATTATCAATCCTTGCGAGAACTTGCACTGAGCAATCAAAAATTTCATGCAGATTTTCAAGTGATTGTTCCTCTTCCTACCACATATAGACATTCAATTTCTGACCAGAATAATGCAGATTCAGAAGTCACGTTTTAAGAGTGAATTTGTGAGGACATACCTTCTCCCCTTCCTCCATGGGTTTGGAGCCATAGAGCAATGGTGACAGTCCTAGAGCCTCATTTAACAAAGGAGCAGAACCAACACAAAGGGCATATGCAGCTGCTGGCACCACAATAACCAATCGGTCATTCAATGATGAGCATTCCTACAGGAAATAAGTCAAGCTCAAATTCTGACTGACATTATATGAAAAGGCATGATATAATCATTTGAGGTATCTTCAGTGCTTGGACGGGTATTTGGCTAAGCTATAAGCTATCCAAAACATCTTATAAGATGTTTATACATTTATAGTTCACACGAGGAAGATCAAATCATTTGTTCTAATAGTTTATAATTCACAATCTAGATGGAATTGGACATACCATCAGAATGATTGTTACACAATATTTTAGTACGTCAGTGTAGTTCAGTAAATGAAATTGCCTTGAGACTATTGTTTTGACTTCTGTATTGTGCTAGTAAATTTTGTATTTATTGAACGGGAAAAGTGAAAAATCTTTTGTCACAAATCTTATCAATTTATTCAATAATTAATAATTGACTACAAAGAATCGGAACACCTGAGACATTATACATAATTCAGACAGACCTTCAAGTTTACCAGAGCCAAAACTGCTCGCAGCATATTCTGTCTGAGATAAAAAGCATCTCGAGGATCACCCTGTGAAGAGAGGAATAGAAATATAAAGTTAACTTGCCCAATTCTGATAATGTATTTAAAGCTCAATGTGACATCTTTCCAGCAATGCAGTTAATTATAAAGTAAAAGAAACCTAAATTACAGCTCAGGTGTTAGCATTTGTTTTACTATAAGAAACAAATCAAGAAACACAAACAAATTTACAATAAACAAGAGGATGTTTCATATTCACATAAAAAAACTTTGTTTGCAATCTAATAATGCAATTTCATCCATCTTCGGGTTATCACCAACTTTCATAATCATCTATCATGTCCAGTCCGTTAGCTTTGCAAACACAACCGACTAACAATGAAAAGCAAATTCTGAACTCCAATAAAGATTTTGCAACACAGCCAATGCGCTCTCCAAGGTGTACATAAAAACAATAGTGAGATGTACACAACCTAAAACTCTCAAACAAGATTTTTACCAAGGTTGTAACATAAAAAGAGTACGACAAGAATGGAAGTCTTACTTGTGAAGCTCTCCGGGAAAAGTAGCAAGAGATGAAGCATAAAACAGATCTGAAATGCATATTCGCAATAAACATTTAGAAAGAACACTTAGTTTGAGAAAAACTCAGGATGTTAAACAGATATTCTTCTTCGTGAAAACTTGATAAGGAAAAGGTAATCTTATTCTGAGGAAGATGTGAGTACAGCAATATTTTAACCAAAACAAACAGCTTGATAAAATTAAAACACATCTTTCAATAATATGCAGACTAAATCTGCCTGAACTGTGAAATAACACCAGTATGATTAAATTTAGATTATTCTACTAACTGATATGGGGAAAAAAAAAAAAAAAAGCAAACTAGTACACCAACGAGTTACCTAGTGACCTAGGGATCTCAAGTACAAAGTTCAACTAAAGATTTCAACCTTCCTAAGGCCCAAACGAGAGAAAGGGGAAAAAGAGACACGACATAAATTAATCTACAAAATTGTTAAGGATAGATGAAAATATTGTAGATTAATTTCTAGAAGATTAATTTCAGTGATCAGCATGTGAAGCAGCATGCATGTTTCAGTTAGATGTATTAATTCACAAATGTGAATCACTCACATTGAAGGCAAGCGTTTAAACACCCGAAGATCCCATATCTCCAGAGAAACAAAATATGAATCCGTTGTATCCTGAAAAGCGTGACATGAAAACAGATTAAAGGATAAATATATTACAAGCGAGAAAACGGTACATCAATTTAGACAGAAACTAAGAAAATACTTGAGTTGTTATAATCTTACACTCAACATAATATTGCAAAGCAGCATAAAAGCAGCATCCACCTGCATAAGACAGGGCACAAAAGAACTTAACTGCTACATTTCTAAGGCTTTATAGAAGGACTTCTTCAAAATAAGTTCCCGAAGAGAGAGGTTACAAGGTAGAGGAAAAGAACTCCATTAAAACAACTAGATTTTAAATGATCATCTCGACAAAGACCTCGATTTACTTTTTATGTAGGCTATGATCTGTAGAACAACACTTACAACTGAGGTGACATTAACGAATGAAGGCAAACTACGCATGAGACAGCTCCAGATTACATGCCAACTTTTCTCAACCTGCAAAACATTTACAGAATCAAATCAGATAGTTCAAGATAGAAAAACACAAATTCATAAAATACCAAAAGCTGTTGGAGAAGTGCATAGAAAATGTCAAACAAATTGCACTGCAACTTACTTTCTAGCTTTTTTTCTTTTAAGATAAATAATAATCACAAAGGAAAGAATAATCCAGGATACATACATAATGCAAAACATAACCAGATACAGTGCTTTCGCAAGGAAATATACAATTTGACAGAAAGTTCCTTATTTCTTTTTCATTGTGTTTGACGCTAGTCAAACACTCGACTTGAAAAGCAAGGAATTCATGCATCCTCCTTTCTGATTACAACTGGTCCATCAATAAGATGAGGAACTGACCATCATTTCGCAAGCAACAAAAATGGGAAACAGGTATAGAATTTATAAAATTATTCTGTGTAAGCAAACGAAATGATGCCAAGTCTTGCCTCCTCCGCTATTTCCATCTTTACGGTTCACGTGTAAGAAAAATTAATGATTGCCAGAGTTGCTGTCTCCACTTTTTTCCTTCCTTTTATTACCCTCGCTTCCAAATACTTAAATCATGTATGAATTCTACACTACTTTTTTTGTCAGACAAAGAAGTTCGAAGTTCACTGATGAAAAGGGGAAAAAATAAAAATTGGTGGAGGTTAGAATGCCATCAGTACATGATGAACACTATGCTTCAAAACTGCAAAGCCTTTAATCAGTAAAAATAAACAAGAACAATGTACTAATATGCATATCCTTCGAGTTATATAAACTGTAGCTAACTTATATAAAGTCGTCCATCTTAAGAAGCATATAACTTTAAACAGCATACATCCCGTCTCATCCATGATAGCAAAGCGGAAGTAATTAATTCAAGAACAGAAGCACATGAAATATTGAATCATTTTCTTCCAAATAATCATTTAGTATACCTCATTCTTGGCACAAGATGACTTTGATGAGGATTCCACACTTGGAGCATCAAAAAGCAGCATGGAAGAAAGTCTTAGCAAACTCCTTCAAGCACAATTAATGGTATAAGAAGTTGAAACAAAGGATGCACAAAACCTACGAAGGCCTTCATGTATCAAGAAAATGAGTTTCAACAAAAATATGAGAAAGATATGTGACTATGTTTGTAAAATGGGTTTGAGGGGAACAGTCACGAAGTATATCAGACCAAATTCTCTTAACGCCAATTAAAGTATAATGGAGTAGCAATAATATCTAACGGGATAGAAGCAGCTTACCTCAAAGTCCACGATAGATCATCATAAGAATGTACCAAATTCACATTGTTGATTATTCTGCAAGGGGAACACAACAATAAGGCTTCCTTAAAATAAGTATGAACTGTAGCAAAGCTTGAGCAAACAAACTGGCAAATGAACCCGTGGAACTTTGGCACATACCGCATAGGTAGTATTGATGCGGAGTGAGAATATATTGACAGAAAATAATTAGCATGACAGCTGTCTATCAAGGTTTTGGGTAATCAGGCAAAAAGAGCAGTAACAGAATAAGTTGGATACAGTTAGAACGTAATCAGAATTATCATCTCTTTTCAGTTGGCACGCATACATAAAGTAGCTGAAAGAAGGAGACCCTTTGTGTGTGTGTGTGTGTGTGTGTGTGTGTGTGTGTGTGTGTGTGTGTGTGAGAGCGAGGGGGAGAGAGAGTGTGTGTAAAATTTGTTGAGACGGGACAGAAGAACAAATATTTCTACACGGTTCAAAGGAACACAATCAAATCTTTACAGTAAATTCAATAAAGATTACCTTTCAAAGTCCTTAGATACGCTTTCAAACAAATATATGAAGAAGTCTTTCCTTATGCCAGTTGAATAATTGCGGATAAGACAGCAAAATGCAGCATGCCTGTTGCAAATATAAAATCCAATTAAACACAAGATTCTGCATAAGTAAGCAACCATCTCAATGCATGTAAAGAAAGATGAGTATCTCTTTCATAAATCTTTGTGTGGTATCCCCGTTTTCTTTTTTGTTTGTATTCTTCTCTTTCGTTCATTTTCATTTCTGATTTTATTACGTAAGTTTGTTAAAATGTAAAATATCCCTTAGCAAAGTCTAATGCCATTAAACTCAATAAAGGCATAGATATTACATTATCTGTAGATCTTGTGATTCATCGATAACAGCTTCAATATGTTAATCCTGAACATAAATATCAGAAATGATACTTCTATCTAGACATACTTCTATCTAGACCTACCATGACCATTTCCCCTCCATGAGCCGCTCTTTTATCTGGACCACAACATGCTCCTGTCTGGCTCGCTTATCAGCACTTGCTGCTGTTTTTGATGTATTACTGCATGCCTGGAACGTGAAGAAACATCGGTTAGGGAAACTAATCAAGAACATCTGCAAATCCTTTTGCTCATAGATGTTCAGGAAAAGGATAAACTTCCATTTTTCAAATTGTAAATATAATTTTTTTAACAGATCTGAAATAATTTTAATGTTCAGGACTTCAACTATGACTAAGAAGTAGATTTAAACACAATCGAAAAACAAAGTCATCGAAATTAAATACATATCCAGGTAGAATCCCAGTGCACTCGACAAAGTACATAAGTACCAGATCATGTTTGAAGGACGTTGAGCAACATACATATCTTAAATATAGTATTAGAAAATCTACTTTGAAAAACAGAACAAATTAAGTTTCTGCAGTAAGTACCCGCCAAAAGACAAGGGCTGCAAGCTCCACCACACTGTGCTGTGAGCTAGTTAAGAATCCACACTTTTCATCCCGGATTGCGTCACTCCTGAATGCAATATCCACACGCATTAGAACAAGGGAATTCGTTTCAAACACTAACAGATGAACATGAAACAGTTCTATACATTAATTCTAACCTAGGTATATTAGCGCTGGAAGTACTCATTTGATCAAGCTCCTTGCTGACGATATCCAGAAGTTGTTCAAGTAAAGCAGTACCATCAACAACCCCTCTTGTCAGACTTAGTTGCAACTTCACATAGCAAACAAGTGCATCCTACTAAAGGAGTAAAATTAGGAGAGAGCGACATATTGACTGTAAAATCCACAATAATCAATTGCAGTAGAGTGAGAGACCTTTAGACTTCGATCATGAGTTGCAAACCAGCAGCGAAACACAAATTGCTGTACTGCTTCATGAATTTCCAGGGATTTGCAACCCAAGTTTGGTCCATCCTTTACCAAGTAAATATTGATGCACTCAACAAGCTTACGCGAAATTTTTCCCTCATCTCTACAGCAGAAAGAAAAAAGAGTATCTGATTGAATATAATTGTGTGAGCTCTCTTAACTCCAGAACACTACAATAAACAATTGAAAACAATAAAGAGAGGAGATCAACAAATGTCTACCTCACGTGAGAAAACATTCCAATAAAACCCTTAATCATGTCGTCTCGAAGCTCCTCGGGAATATCTCCGGGAGGGTTTTCAAGAAGTGACTGCAGAGTCAGGGTGAAGCGGAAAACCTCCTCTTTGGGGTTTAATTGGCCAATGTTTTCAGTACTCAAGCTTGTTTCAATCTTTTCCATGTATAGAAGTACAAGATCTGCACATACCATATTAAAAGGAAATTTATGATTCTCCAAAGAGATGATGATATACGAAAGACCAGGAAACATGCGTGTACTCACTAGAATAAACACGTTTGCGCATGTGGAATCTATAATCTGCAACTGCCAAAAGATGTCGTAGGATAATGCCATACTCAGATTGAAAACTTGGCACATCCTTGAGGACATCCCATACATGATTGAAAAGTACTCTAGCCACGGGTAAGAGAGGCGGACTTTTGCCTGCAGAAAAATATAGGAAATGGCACGAAATGGAGATAATTAGTGGGCACAGAACAAATTCAGTTATATAACTTGACGGCATATTTGAGAATTATCGGTTCATGCCCGTAAAAATTATAATGGTGCACCATATTGGGAGACTAAAATATAAGGGTGCATTTTCAGTATTCTGAAAGATAATAAATATATCCTGGTAAGGAAGTATTTGTTTCCCTTTAATACAAAACTCAAGGCCAGAACTCAAATTAAGCCATTGCATAACATCATATTGTATAAACTGCATTTATGGAGTCTGACTTCTGAAATATATTTATCAAAATTTAGCTCTGCAATGCAACTTTACTTATTTAGTCAATTTCCAAACTTCACTGAGCTTACCCATAAAGAATCGTCCAAGATCAAAAAAAATAGTCAGGCTTTTATTTAATGAAATTCAACCAACTGCATATAATCTACTTGTCTGCATTAAGAGGAGCTTCAAACACTAACCAGAAGATCTATCGTCCTCAGCTCGTTGCACGACAATCCGAAGTGTCTTCGCAAGATTTAACTTTGGTAATCGCTTCTTGCTTGAGGAGATCTCCAGTGACAAACATTGTATTAAAGTTTTCACAAGAAAAGGCCAGGTCTCAGCTGCATAAGAACCAGTGGTTGCACCTCAAATAATATCTCAACAACTAAAAACTTAACCGCAAAATATGCTTACAGTGTGGAAGGTCATTAGGTTTAAGCATCGAGGTTTTCTCCGACAAAAATCTACAAAATCCGATTGATCTCTCCCCTTCTAGCCATGTGTTCAACAATTTAATTCCTTCCTGAAATAACGTACGAGAAAAAATATCGAATACTGCTACAAATGAAATCGGGATTCATTCTACTTACGTCTTTATATGATAAATTAAGTATATGTATTGGCAAATAAAAGTGAAAAAATATGAATGTCTGAATTACTTTCTGAAATTAAAGCAACTATACAATGCATTCTAACCAGTATTTCCTGATAATTGTGGTACATATAAACTATAGAACAAATTCGCTGTAGTTTTAGAAGTACCAAACCATCATAACTTAATAACGACTTACGACACTACTATTTCCAGATGAAATCGAACTACAAGAACTTTAACGCTTGATTTCCAGGTTCATTTCAGATGATAAGCTAATGAAATATGCCATCAAGTACTCCGAAAAAACTTAAATAACAATATGAAAATTTTCAATTTCACTCGAGTACCTGACTAACCTAAATACAATTACCAATTTTCAGAATCACATATTTCAACATCACTATAGCAAGTAAATAACAAACACAAAAATGTAACATAGTGAACTGAAACTCTGCCTTTTACCAACAGTACGTTTGCTCACCAAAAACTCAACAATATTAAAAAAAATATGCCAGCGATCACACCTTCTAAAGAATCCATAGCCATCGGATTTCACTCACAAAACTAAATCAGATGAAATATATGCAGCGGGTTAATAATTTGACTATTTTACAGTATATTCTAATCGGAATAAAATCAACTTTTCGGCAATTTCACACAAATATATATAATATATATTGGGAATTTTTTTTTGTTTTACATCTCGAGCTTTGGCTTTATCCGAAGAGAGCTTCGCGACGATCTCCTGAACGTCTCTTGAAGTGACTCTCGTGGCCATTTTAGTAAGATCAGAGTTCGATCGGGTTCCTTTTCCTCCGCCAGTATTGTTTCACTGTGAATCGGTGTGCCGGTGCACGGCGCGGTTAGGGTTTTCCGGTGAGGAGAATTGGCGGGAAATCGAGAGATGGAG